GGACTTGTGTTTTTCTCCCAATCGCCTTGTCGATGCCCCCTTCCCTAGACAGAGATCCTAACTGCTTGGCTTCCTTACCCCCTACTCCACCACAATTCGCCCCTTTATCCCCTCTTCGGAGCAGCCACGTAACAATGTGCTCACCCGGGTGGCGGCTAAAATCTTTTCGCATGTCACGCAACTCACTCAGGGATAGAGATCGGGTGATTATTTCAGGTTCTGCCTCTTTGTCCTGAGGGTGCTGCCTAATATCAAGCAGTGTTTGGTAGGTACTGGCCAGGGCCCAGCACAGTGCAGTGAGTTGTGTGTCTCTGGAATAGCCACAGCATTTTCCTTTCAAATATTCTACCACTTCATGAGGGTTCTGTAGTTGTTCGGGAGTGAACTTCCAAGTCACTGGAGGTGAGAAGTTCTCTAGATACCTGCCCACATCCTCCCACATGCCGTGCCACCCATAAATATCCAGCTTTGGGACAGATCTCTGGGTGGTACTCTTAAAGAGCCTCTTTGTAGCCCTAGACAAGACCTGAAACATAGTCAGGAGGCATAGCACTAACAGCACACAGGCTTGCGCATCCCAAGGATATTCAAAATTCTCGAAAACTGTTGTAATTAGTCGGAAGGAGAGAAGGGAGGGGAACGGATGGGGGGAAGTATCCCCCCCTAACTTCCCCATGGGTTGGGTGTAATTACCAATAAAATCCGACAGAAGGTGCCCAAAGTATGGAAATGATATCACTGCCTCATACAGATACCAGCTTAACCTCATGACCAGTGATGTAATCATTTCACAAGTCGACATTGCCCAGTACAGCAAAATAATAATCCCAATCACTCTCCCAGAGGTGATAAACGTAACTACAGGCAATACATAGAGCATATAAGAACTTACAAAACGCCACCATGTAAACAGCTGAATCAACATTGTGACTAACATCTATTTATCTAGTATAAGAAATGCGTATGACAAATTTGTTTCAACACGCTCTGGCCAGATCTGCCGTTATCTCAACCCTTCTGCCCCGCGTTGGGCGCCAAGAAGGACTGTCACTGTCGTGGTTCCAGCCCAGCCGGTAACAAAGGACCACGCAGCCGCTCGCTCCCTCCTCCCGCCCCCCTCCGGTGGGATAGGGGGGAGAATCGGAGGAGAGAAAAGGAAAAAAAAAAAAAAAAAACGGAACCTCAGGGGTTGAGATAAGGGTAGTTTACTGGGACAACACGCAAAAAAAGAGAAGTTACAACAACAACGGTACTAATAAAAGGGGTGATGCACAGTGCAACTGCTCACCACCCGGAACCCGACGCTCCGCCACTTCCCCCACCGAAAGTCGAGAGAGCTCCCCCCAGCCCACTCCCCAGTTATATACTGGGCATGATGTCATATGGTATGGAATAGCTCCTTGGCTAGTTCAGGTCAGCTGCCCCGGCTGTGCCCCCCCACCTCCCAAGTTCCTGTAAAAATTAACTCTATCCCAGCTGAACCCAGGACAGCTAATTAAACGAGAACAGCCAATTCCCATGCCTTTTTTTTTTTTCTTTTTTTCATTTCACTGCTGTGCTGATTTACTTCAGTTTATTTAGTGTTTTAAAATGGTTTCTATTTAAATTTGGAAGGGAAGAAAAATAAATCTGCTAAATATATTTCTATTCAGATCATATGTTGTGGCTTTTCTCTTTTTGAAGAATGAGGTCTAATTTTTGAACCTGAATTCACTTGGCACTAGTCTTGGCTTCAGCAACACTGGGTTTCCTTTTGTTTTAAACTAATTCCCTTTTTCCTACTGCTGGGCTACATTTATGTCTCTATGCTAGCAAAGCTTCTATGCATGTGTTTGGTTTGAAAGTGTTCATCTGAGCAAAGTTAAGTAAGCGTATTTGAGGATGGGGCTCTAAGTGTGTTTTATGGTGGTCCTCGGTGCAATGGTGTGGACCTGAAGCATTGCCAGTCCAGCTACCCATACGCGTGCCATTTGCATACGTGTTTGCAAAAAGATGCAGCTCATCTTTTTGCTTTCTTCTCTGTCCCTCACTCTGGGAAGCCAGGGCCTTATTCTTTTCTGGGTAAAGCATGGTTTTTTGAGGGGAAGGAAGGTTACTAGATACTTGCTGCTTTTGGAAGAGAGAAAAGGTAGAAAAGAGAAGGAGGATATAAGATGTACTCAACAGCACAGGAATTTCCATACGCTTCTTTGCAAAGTATTTTTATAATAGATTAAAGCTTTATCTTAAACACTTAGGCTTGGCTAGAATATGTTTCTCAGTGAGGAATGCATGACTGAGAAACATGGAAAAAAACAGCTGGGGGGAAAAAAGCTAAGAAAAATAGCGATTTCATGTGATTTCTGATGAGCTATGTGACTGCCTTTTGTCCCTTAAGTCCCAATCCTCAAAGCTGGTCTGGATGGGTTGTCTGAGCTCCTGGGCCTTCAGAGGGTTTTTGAGACAGGTTTCTCTCTGCATAGGAGTTTCTTAGTAGTAGCTGGATGTGTAACTTAGCTGCACTCTTCTGAAAAGGTTTTCTTGAGGACAGTGGACAGCGAGACTGTTAGTTATCTGCCCTAGTCATAACACTACTTGCTTCAATTTTTTGTTATTGTTACTTAAAGCTTCATCTGTTACAGCAAGCAAGTAAGCAAAATGTAGATACTTCAGAGCTAAAGGTATGAATAAAATCTTATGCATATAGAAACTGGTAGATGCAAAACCACAGTCCCAGTAAGCAACCACAACTAAGTCAAATATATATATTAAAGGAGAGAAGTCCTTAGCATGCATGGTAACAGAAGATGTCATGTCTACAGGAGATCTGATTTATGGTGGAAACTGTAATTTTTGGCCACATTCTGAGGTTGGTTTTTTGAGTAAAACGTGCATTGCCAAGTCAGGCCAGTGGGTCCTTGAATTTTCTGCTCTGAGTGTAACATAATTCCCCTCTAGGTTCAGGTACTTGGTGGGTTGATGTTGATCCTGCTTGTGGCTCTATTTTCATAGGGAGTGTGTAAGTTTGGTGCTCATATCCAGGTTTGAGATGCTTTAGTTCTGAGACCCTGGGGTGGCTCCTCTTTGACGCGCAGACCCACGCAGGTACCTCAGACCTGTGCTGGATGCTCAGCACCTCGCAGGACCTGTCCTTTGCCCTGTAGACCTTTCAGCCCAAGGAGCTGCAGCCTGCCCTCTGCCCTGGAGCAGCAGGGACCATGTAGCTCTTCCCCCGCAGCCCTTCCCTCCCTCCTCCAGCTTCAGCCCTGCTCTGTGCCTTGCTGGTGGGATGCCCGGGGTGCCCCCCTGCCTCCCCACGCCTGCAGAGCAGCCCTGAACCTGCCCCTCGGAGGCTGGATCTCTGCTCATTAGCCGATGTTTGCTGAAACCGGATACCTGGGGCACCCTAGCCAGCGAGCGGAGTCCCCTGGCTGCAGCTATTTAAAAGGACAAGGGCAGCCTTCTAATTCCCACCTCTTTCCCATCCATGTCCCTCCCAGCGCCCGGTCCTAACCTCTCTTCTCTCCTGGATCCCTGCAGCATCCATGACCCACGAGTGGAGCGACAGCCCGAGGGGGACCTGCCCGCACCAGTCCTGGGGAAGGATTATCTGTTGAATTTGGGGGAACCTCAGCCTTGCCAGAAAGCCTTGGCTCGCTCACGGCCCGTGAGCCTGGTGGGCACTCGCTGGCTTCCAGCACAGGAGACACCTTGAGACTGAAGGGGAAGGAGGGAGGAAAGGGTTTGGTGTTTTAGGTTTTTGGGGTTTTTTTTCTCCTTTTCCTTTTTTTTTTAATTATTATTTTATAAGCAGTAGAAATTGCTGTAAGCTGCTGGGACAAATGAATGCCAATGAACACAGGGCTGCGAGGAGACGGTGCACAGCTTCTTGCCTCGCTGCAAAGTAAGTGCCCAAGGCAGAGATGCTGTGCAAGGGGGAAGGGAGCAGGGCCGAAGGGGCACCCAGGGGTGGGCTGCCCTCACCTGCGTGAGGGAATCCTATGGAGCTGAGGGGCTTGCTGTGTCCTGGTGTGGACAAGAGGGATCTGCCTGTCACCCTGGGGCGTGCAGGGTGGCTGGGTCCTAGCTCGGTGGGACTTTGCAAGAGCTGGAAGAGGAGGGGGCATAGGGATGCAGGTTTTACCCACACACAAAAGTCCCCTCTCCTGGCAGAGCTGGCTAAGTGGACTTGGGATCTGATTTACTTTGATGGACCTTGCACAAGAAAACTCATTCCCCTCTCCCTGTCCTCCGGGCTGCGGCTTCCACCGCTTGGTGCTGGAAGGAGAGGGGGCTCTGGAGATGCCCCATATGCAGTCCCCTGTCCCCCCCCTCCCTATGGAGCCAGGGTGAGGAGGCAAGCAGGGGCAGGGGGAGGCTTTTCTCCTGCAAGCCTGAGACCCTTCCACAGGCTCTCAACTGTCTCCGCCAAGCGTTGAGCCCAAGGGAAAAGCTGTGTCAGGTACCTTTATAACAGGGGACCTTTGCTAGCCCGTGGCGAGGTGGGTCGAAGCCAGCTTGGGCAGAGGGCTCACGGCCCCCGGCAGGTGAGCGCAGCGGAGCAGCGATCTCCGTTAGCAGCGTCCCCCAGACCAGCGGCCTGTGCGTTTCCTCCACAGAGCCTGGAAGGGGTCTTCGATCCCTTCTCTGCAGCTCTTGTGGCCAAAAGAGTTTCTTTTTTTAATTATTTATTTACTTTGTATTATTTTTTGTAAGTGCTTCAGTGTTACAGAGGAGGGCAGCAGAGAGAGGCAGCAGGGACATCCTTAAATAATTTTCATTTCTCAAAATCTGCCTTTTCCTCTTCTCTCTAAGTCCAGAGGAGAGATCCTTGGGGGGGTGGGAGGCACATCTGCACTGCAAATAAAAACAATAATTACAACCACCAACCAAACAACAAAAAAAAGTAACAGCTAAGAAAAAACACTTTAAATCAAGGACTTTGGAAATCAGAGATCACAGAAATTGTACTATTAAGGGGGAAAAAAAAAAAAGAGGCAAGAAATCCAGCGACCATGGGCCAGCCTGGCTTCCTAGCGTGTACTTTCTGTTCTCTCTCCTTTTTCCCAAGGTAATTGCAGTCTGCCGAGAGGGAGTTAAATGGGATTAAAAGATCTGTGTAAGCAAAAGGACCCAGAAGAGAAGGAGGAAGGAGTGAGCCGTCCGGGCCAGGGGGTGTCTTTGACACAGCTGAGCCCCTTAGAGAGGCAGAGAGCTGAGCTCCTGGGAAGGATGTACCCACAAACCGGCCTGTCCCCCTTTTTCTGATGGATTGCCGCAAAAATTGCCCGAAAGAGACAATGCACTAAACGTGATGGAGCCGGAATCAGAGCCGGTCTCCAGACTCAGAGCTACAGCAGCAGGCAGGGGGTGAGTACAAAGTCCGACTTCTGCTGGCGCTGGGGAAGGGCATCCCGGGCGGGGATGGGGGTGCCCGGGGAGCCGGGGGATCCCGGGAGGGCTGCGGGAGGGGAGAGCCGGCCCGAGAGGGGAGCTCCGCTCCCGGGTGGCTGGGGATGGGGTGGGGGAAGACATTCCTTCTGCCAGGGGATGATGTGAAAACTCCTGGGCTGGAGAAGAGAATGGGCTGGGAGAGAAGGGAGGCCACGCTGGAGCAGGAGGGTGGGAATGGGCTTGGGGTGTTGCGGAAAGGGGTGAGAGCGGGGGGCTGGGGGCCGGGAAGGGCAGGAGGAGCCCCCACCCGCCTCCATTCCCACGTACCGTGGAAAGGAGCTCCCAGCCCGGGAACTGGTCCGGGGGGTGGGCGCCGATGTTGCACCCATGCGAGATGCAGGAACGGGCAATTCCACCTCCCCGCTCCCCCTCGCACACCTACACCCTTGGCGGTCAGGGGCAGGGGGGCAGGTTCCCCGGCCCCTCCTGGGAGCGGGAGTGGGGGGGGGGGGGAATGCTGCTCCCTGGCCCTGTCCCGCGGGGACGTGGGGGCACGAGTACCTGGAGATCGGTGCCGCGGTCCTCCGGGAAGTGGGAGAGCCATGGGAAGGGCTGAGGCACAGTCAGAGAGGCAGGCGGGTGCCTGGTGGCATGCTCTTCATGTGTTCAGTATACACACGCGCGCACAAATACCTCTTTCTGTCTATATATGTGCATATATCCAAAATTACAGCACAGCCCCTGCCCGTCCTCTTCCTCGCACAGCTGGGACCAGCTTTTACTATTTTCATTGTTAAATTTGTTGTTGTTGTTATTTTCCTGGGGACTAGCAAAGGGTTAATCCCTCTGGTTGCGTTGTCGGATGTAATGATGATTTACCGACACTCCCTTGGAAAGACTGGGATTCTTCTGCCTGGCAGTTTGAAAAAGTTGTGTACAGGATCCCTCTGCTTCTGCCAGGCTCGGCTGGGCTGCGAGATGGGACGAAAGGGTTGGAAACGGGACAAGGAGATTTGGGGGTTCCCCCCTCCCTTCCACCCCGAGGGTCACCCCGCTCCTGGCAGCCGCCCCTTTAGCGCAGCGCCGGGGTTTGGACGTGGATGAATGTGCAGTTTCCTTTGTAGGCTGAGCGCACGCTCTCCCTGCCTGCATGTGTCTGTGTGTAAAGTTCTGGGGAGAGAATCACAACTGCTCCCAGGGGCTGCAAGCAGCTCTCCTTGAGAAGTTTTGTGTGTGTTTATATACTCATAAAGACTGAATTTAAGTGCTTTGGGGGGGGGGCGGGGGGAGTTGCACGGATGTAGCTGTGGCATGTCTGGAGATGCTGGTAACTGCAGCGTCTCCCAGTTGCACCGTCTTAATGTTGGGCATGGTCTGGAGTGAACTGCCTGCCTGGGACCGTGCGAGGGTGGCTGTCAAAAATAGAGAAATTGAAAAGGGAACAAACAGATAAAGATTCCTTTGAAAGACGGAGAGGAGCGCGGCACCGCAGCAAGGGGAAGGGAAGGGCCCTGATGCTGGGGAGATACTTGGCACGAGGCACAGCCGCTGCACAGGGAACCAACTTGTGACCATGATGGAGAAGTTGACCGCAATCATACTACAGATGAGGACAGGGAGATTCTGCTCGAGAGCCAGGGCAAATCAGACCCAGCTAAGGACAGGGTTAGGAAACAGGGACCCAGGAGAAGGCAGCGTGGCTGCCTGCTCTCCGGAGGTCTATATGTGGTTTTCATCTCAGTGTCCTAGGCTAGCGCTGTGCACGGCTGCATGAGGTTGCGTGTTGCAGTGCCATGGGAAATCTGCGCTTTGGTCTTTTCTGGGGACTCTGAATATGTGCGCCTTTTGTTCCCAGGATCTCCTCTGGCTTAAATACCTCACCAGCGTGCTGCTGATCCGTTCCCTCCTCAGCAGAGGTCGCTTGCTACCCTTTGCATTATCTCCCGATGGGCTTTTTGGTGCTGGGTTTTGATTTGCTTGGCAGGGTTGAGTGCTGTGCATCCTACCATCCCCACAGCTGGATGTTCCTGTTGAGGCCGTTAGTCTTGGAGAGGGTTCTCTGAGCCCAGAGCTGGCTTGTGCCTGGGCTCACCAGGCCACCCTTGTGCCACCGACTCTTCCTCAGGGTGGGTGAGGGTTGTGCTGCCTGAAGGCAGCTTGTAATGGGAACTTTCTGATGCATTCTCATGTGGCACTGGGGATCCCGCGTGTCCCAGTGCTCCTGCAGCATCCTCCGGAGCGGGGCTGGTGGCTGAGGAGCTGCCAGACGTGCAGGAGACCCCTGGATGGGAGTGGGAGGGCTGGCTCACCAGGGAAGGAGAAGCAATTGCAGAGTGTGCTGAAGCCTTGTCCTGGCTCGAGCAGGCAAAGCTTGTAAAACCAGAAGAACAGAAAGTTTTACAGGCTTTGAGAGCTTAAAATGCTTCTCTTGATCGTTTCCGTTGATGCATTTTTAGCGAGCACAGGCTCACTAAACCATAGAAGAAGGTTTTGCATTCAGCTGTGCATTGAAGATGTGTCCAGACCGTAGTAGCACTTGTGCTGTTCAGCTGTGGTTGTGCCACCTTGGCTCCTTCCAGCCCCAGTGCCACATGCTGGCCATGGAGGAAGCTTGCTTCATGTTCCTGAGGCCTCCGATGGGTGCCTGCTTGCTGTCACAGCCCTGGGTTGTTGGTGTAATGCTGCTCCAGGGCTGCCTGGCCCAAGCCACAGGCGCGGTGGTACAGCACCCATCTGGCACCACCAAGGGGGGTCAGCCCCTGGGAAGGCCTGAAAGGGCTGCAAGAAGGCACGGCTCCTGTTTTAAGAGGAAAAGACCATTGCATGCAAGCCGGGCAGGTGATCTGGGGACAAATTATGGCACTGCTGGACAAATTCAGCAATAGGAGCAATAGTCAGGCAAATGCTGTGTGTGTCCTGGGTGCCTTGGGGTAGAGAGGAGGCAATTACACAGCCTCCTGGAGCTGTGGCCCAGGAGGGAAGGGCAGTGTCACAGCCAGGGGTTACAAACTGAGGCCCAAGTGTCCCCTCTCCCGCTGCCTCGATGTGCGTGTCTGAGCAGGTCCTTTTAATAAATCTCCAGTTTCATCCCCTTTCTGCAATGGGTTGAGGGGATAAAATCTGCCCTGCTTGAAAACAGTGTTTATAGAGGTTACATTATTGACCGAGGGTTGCTTAGGTCTTGTGGTGAGGAGGTTGTAGGAAATCTCTGACCAGAGACAGACACAGAGCAGGTAGGTTTTTTTCCCCTCTCTCTTTCTTTGCCAATTTGTTGGGGGCATAAGTAGAAATGATGGACGCTTACTGAAGTGCAAATGGAAACAAAGGGGAATTCTATACGGCTCTGCCAAACCCCATTCACAAAATGAAGGAATGCAAAGGCGTTTGTTGGAAGGACAAAAAAGGAGTTAGATGACAGATCACGCTTAGCACTTCTGTTTGTCGAGGGCTCCAGTTGCTAACTGAGAACACAAAGGCAAGGGCCAGTAGTGAGTGTTGTCACTTCACACAGCAGCAAAGTCAATAACCCAGACAGACAGGGGTGGTGAGCAAAGAGGAAACCAAGTAATGGGTTGTCAGGAAAGATCCCCCATTGTAGAAAGCTGCTGGGAGGTATCTGGGAGGGTATTTAAGTCATCACAGCCGTGTCAGTCAGTCTTGTATCTAGCGGGTGAGGAAGCAGGTTGTCACCAGCAGGAGCTAAGAGGAGCTAGTTAACTCTGGGCCAGCTTTGTGCCATGAATACGCAAGCTGTGGTTCCTAATTAGGAGGACAAGGACCAGTGGTTTGAGACCCATTGGCCCTCAGTCTGCAGATATCAGCATAAACCCTTGGAAGAACAAGGTGTGAGGTGTCTGCAGGAGGGAGGGTTGGCCACACTGACGCTTCATCTGCATGCTCTGCGTACTGCACGTCTGCGTTTCCCTCCCGGAGGAATCCTAAGAGGAGCTATAAGTACTGGGGGAGCAAATACCAGGCCTTTATGCATCCAGACCCTCCTTGTTCCTGGCTGATGTGCAGGCTTTTAGGAGAGCGAAGCTTCTTTGCAGTACTTGAGACCTACTGCTGTACCATTGCCAGGAGCTGAGGTCCCTCCCCTTTGTGAACACGATTCCTCCCTTTCCTCGGGCCCCAGTGGGTCGCTCTTTCGCTACCAGGGGCCTCCTCTGAAGGAAGCAGCAGCTTTTTCTGGGCCACAGTTGCCAAAGCCCTGAGACAGACCTCTACAGGCACAGCACTAAGGGCATTTTCATCCTGAATTAAGATTAGATTTGGCAGAAATGGTGCCAGAGAAACCGTGGGAATTTCTGGGTTTGCACACCCGCTCCAAACTCTGGGGCAGGGTGGAGGAATTCAGACGTTCCTGTTCAGGATCAGCCCAAGGATGGGTCGGCGGAGTCTGGCCTAGAGAGTTTCCCATCCTAGGGAGTTTCCCTGTTTGGGCTACTGGGCTCTCCAGTAATAATGGTGGGACAATCTTTGAAACTCTCCGCTTTGCACTCTGCTCAGGGTGCTGTTAAAGCTCAGGCAGCCACACTGATGTCCCACTTTATCTTCTCCCCTTATGGCTGCGTGTGCAATGAATTTCTAGTTGTCATCTGAAGATCTGTTTTGATAAACACGTGCCTAGGAGCAGTGGATTCTGGATGTGTTGCGTACTTGATGCTGGATGATATTTTGGGGGAGTTTTCCGAACATTAAAATCTTATGGGGGGGTACTGATTTTCATTCTTCCCCACTTAATATTGACAGTTTCTAGATCACTCTTAGATTTCTCAGTATTTTTAAATGACCATGGAAATGAATCTATCTGGGCCATATCTGCTTGTCTTAAAATTGTAGATGGTGAACGGGGGTTAAAAATTAATACCATTTCAGACATCTCAGAAACTCTTCCCTTAGCATGCTGGGCTTTGCAACAGTGTCTGTGTACACCAGACAAAATCTTTGACTGGAGGTGTAAATCAATAGCTGGTCTATACTGCAGAAAAGGTCCAGCAAAGGACTATGCAGGGTCAATACAGGGACATTACATAACTATAGGTTCCCATTGCTCTCTTCAGAAACTGAGGGTGAGAGGAGAAATAACATATTTTCCAGAAGCCCAGAAAAGAGAGTAGAAGTCTGCTCTGCAAAGGATGATACTAGTACAAAATAAGATTTCTGCCCCGAAAAGCTGGGAGTGGAATCAATGCCATCGTGCAATTTAAAGCCTGGGTATGTAGGTTGTGATTTTTGTTTCCTGTTGACTATCAAAACTGCTGGGTGTCTTATGAAATAGCATCTCTGCTCATGTGCAGAGGTTCTTAAGCAGCATAGACATTTTCTCCTTTTAAGATACACTGTCTGATCTACAGTTAGAAATGTAGCTTTGCCTTTCTTGAAAAGCAATTTTCAGCATCCAGCTGGCTTTCTGGTCTTTTGGACAGAAAAAAATGCACCTGAATGGAGGAGAGTGGGGGGGAATAATTTTTCCGCCCTGCGAGAATGTTTGCAATTTCAAAGACATTTCCCCACTGTAAATGAGGGAGAAAACAAAAAAAAAAAAATTAAATGCTGCTTTGGGGCCCTCTAACATTTTCTTCAGCTTCAACCCATCATCTAAGCAAACAAGATGTCAAAATCATTTGGACTTCTTTTTTTAAGGCAGAGGCAAATCTTTTAATTTAAAAAAGCTGAACTTTTTCCAACCAATTCCAGAAATTGTGAAGCGGAGAATTAGCTGATCACAACTGTTTTACAGATTGCTTCAGCTTTGTCAGACTTGCACTTTTTTGAGGATAATTCCCGACCAAGTCTTCCTTAGAGGCTACTGTCTTACTATTGTCCTTAGTTCAGTGTAGTGCTTTATTCCAGTGGTTGTCAGGTAAGAACTGGTATGTTCAACAGGATTTTTCCTTTACTTTTGCTCTTGAGGTTGCCACCCTGAACGTGACTTTACTGGGGTTGTAGCAGCAAGACACGCTGTGCACAAGCCACCTGGAGAGGTGATAACTCTTCTTTAGCCTCCAAGTCACTACTTGCCGCTCTCAGAAGTCTGATCTTTCAGTGCTCAGTAAGAAGATGGCAAGTGAGTCTGGAAGCTGAAAATGCAGGGCACAGTTTTGCAATTGTATGCTGATTAGCAGTCGTGATTTCACCAGGTCTCTGGATTGGTGCATACCACCATGTGCAGGGACCTCCTGCCTGTCCTGAAGCCCCAGCAGAAGTGGTGCCTAGACCTTCTGGTTGCTTTTTGTAGGAACTCCTCGGGATGTTTTTCCTTGGCTGCTACCTGCATGCACGTGGTCCTCACTGGGAAGATGCTAAAATCACCATTAAGGCTGAGAAGTGTTATTACCAGTTTTCACGCTTCTCTGTCCCTCTCTGTTGTCTTTTGCCTTGCACTTTTGGCACTGGTTGGTTCCCATGGGCTGATCACAGGAGTTCGCAAAAAGTAGCGTAGCAAAATTAAGCTGTAGTCAGTAGCTTCAGTTTGCTATAAAGGGAGTTTGTCTGCACTGGAAAACTTCTAGGGTTCACGTGAGCTTATATCATACGTATTTAGGGGCACTTCTTCACCTAGTGATTATAGCGGTGGGATCCTCATTCTGGTCTTCATAGGCCCTATGCAATAAAAGAAATAAATGCTTTTAGTGGGTACCTCTTGACAGAGTCTCTGTGGAAATCACTGGTTGTGGGAAGAAGCCGAGATGAAGGCAAGGTGGGTTTGATAGCTCTATATAAGGAGAAAAATCTTCTTTTACTATTGCTGCTCAAGCTGCTTATGCAATCCTGTCACTGCAGAATTGTAACGGAAAAAGAGCCTGCATTATAAAATCCTGCAATAATTAACAGCCCCATCAGTCGCAGGTCTGCCATTTGGAAGCTGCTTTTGCTTTTTCCATTAAGTTGGTAAATTTTGCCAAAGTGTTTTTCTTCAGTGTTTTGGCACTCGGCCCCACTCTCAACTCTTATGGTATTGGCTGTGCAAGGGGTCCAGGAGCAAGACTGAGGCCAGCTGGATCCCATGCTGCGCATTCGTCTCCTTTATAGCCCCGTCAGTGTCACTGGAATGAAATTACGTGCTGGATTTTCCCCTAAGGCTTGTTCCCCTCACTGTGTTGGTCAGTAGGGACTTTGGAAGCAAATTTGGGTTGTGAAGGTACCCCTCCAAAAAAAGATCTGGACTTCAGTGAGGTGTGGGGTGTGCACCAGTGTTTGTACATAGCTGTGTACAAATCTGGTCCTCACCAGAGAAAAGGTGTTCTTAATGCTTGGGACTCCTGCTGCCCTTGGTGTTCGCATCATGTTGGTCACCCCTTTCCCCTTGTCTTCCTGCGCTCTCATCGGCGGTCAAACGCGGTTGATACCCAACAAGGTCTGTGCTCCATGCGCACATGGAATTGCGTCCGCATCTTAAAACTCCATTGATCCTTTGGAGGTGAGCACAGAAAGGCAGGTCTTCCTTTGAAGTGGATTTTAGCCTCTTAAGTCAGAAAAAGACTTCTGCTACAGGTGGCTATGAAGAATCATACTATTCTCCTTCCTTTCCTACATTCCCTGAATGAACTGGGACACCAGCTCTCCTTGGACTCAGCAGTGTCTTCAGCCCAACAGCTGTGTCCCATGGGATGAAGTGGGCAGAAAACAACCAAGTCTCCCCAGCTGGAGAACATAGTGATAGTGAGGGTTTCCTGGTTAGCGTATGGCTGGCTATGGAACATGGTGGAAGAATACTGTGATTTGGCTCTTCCAAGCTATTGTTCCTTCATGCGTAAACTAAAGCAGCCCCAGAGCTCCTGAAATGAGCAGCGCAGTGTCAGGGTAATGGAAACAGTAAATAATGATGTGGTTCATCTCATTTGTTTCCCAGCCGATGTGGGGCCGCTCCGGTATTTTGTCCCTTCAAGCCTTAAAATATTAGTTAGTGGCTGGATTCCTGCATGGATTTTTACATTCAAGGCCAGGTTTCCCCACTGATGTGTAAATCACTGTGGCTTCATTTTAGCTGTGGGAAAGGGTCTCCGTCACTGGTGAGAGTCTGGCCCAGAGTTATACACTGTCTCAGAGGATGCTTTCTTGTGCTAAAGCTGAGGCTTGATGGCAGGAGAAGAGTGGTCTCTAATCCCATTTGATAAATGATTTGTCTTTGCCAGATCTGAAGAGAGGAGCAGGCAGCACTTTGGCATTGCTTTGCATATCCCAGTGTTCACACTGGCTTGGCTGACATGAAGAAAAACCTGTGGATGTCCCACACTGCTTTCTTCTGGCTGAGAACTTCTGTAGTTTACATTTTTGTCTCAGTTCCTCCAGCAGCCCTTGCTGATCAAGCTGTTAAATATCATCTCTAAAAGATGAGGGAATTCAATCTTCAAACTTTCCACTGACAGTTTTAAGTGAGCTTAACCAAGGAGTTTCCTATGTTCTTTATTTGGCTACAAATCAAGGAAGTTGGTGGGGGAAGGGGCAGTTTCAGCTACCTTTCTGGGCAAAGTTTTCCTCTCTGCTGCTGTTTTCAATGGCACTTGAAGGCTTAAAGTTGAGCTAACAGAAAGGTTTGTCCAATTCCATCTCAGGCGTGAAAGGGTCTGCGAGAGTACTTTGCTTGGGAGTCTGCAGCTCTCTCACTTTCTAAAATTTCCTTCCATACCCAGCTAATGAGAAAGTCATTAGTGGCAACAGCATAGCGTGCTGAGTGGTTATGAGCTGCCCCCATCTTTGCATCTGGGTGTAAAAAGAGGAATAGATCCATGTAGGATTTTGTAAGTTTAGAATATTTTTAAGCATATAGTAAAGCATTAGGACTCAGAAATTTTTTGCTGAGATGCAGGTGACATGTCACTGCATGTCAGCCTGTTTTCTACCTGTGTCCTCATAGATGCACATGCGCTCCTGGCATGTCTTTTGACCTTCCAATTTTGAATTATTTCTCCATCTTCTTGCATTTCTGATGTTCTGTCCAAGATGGGGCGAGTGCCAAGGAGTAGCAGTAGTGAAAGGACTGCTGATCTGGCACTGATGACCCTGCATCTCGAAACACTGGTCTGGTCCTTGTTCAAGGCTTGATCCTTGATCAACAGTTCCTCTAATACCAGCGGGAAAACCTTCCACTGAATTCAGTGGGCTTTAGATGACTTAAAAGTAGCAAAATGAGATCTCAGTCAGAAGCAAGTGCTGTTCTGCTGAGCACTCATTCTCTACTTCCCAGAGACATGTGGACACTGCCACTGACTTTGCTAAACTTGTGATCAAGGAAAAGACCCTTAACAGGGGCGGGGGAGCTAGTTTTTGTTACTAATGTTGTAGAAACTCATTATTTTTTCTTCTTTCCCAATTTTAGGGGATTCTGCTTTCTCTGGACTATATTATGTTTTACCTGGTTCCTGGGACTCACACAGGGAAATTCTGAAGGTAAACTGCACTTTTTTTTCTCTCCTCTTTCAACCAAAGTAAAAGCCAAGTGCTTTGGTACCAGTTTGGGACCATCATTTAATAATGACTGAGCCTAGTGCACAGAAATGAATGCATTTATTGCTGATTATTGCAGTACTGATGATACAGATGACGCAGTTAACAGCTGGCAAAAGAACCAGTTTTTTACAGGTGATTACGTGCCCCACAGGATTTTCAGAAGTGCCTGTCTGTCTGGTGGAACTGGTGGGAATGAAGCACTTCGGTGTGTCTAAAATGTCACTGGCATCTACCTGCACTTGCTAGTACTTAACTGCTTTTAGAAAGTGTCCCCTGAGGCTGGGGCATTAAGGAATTAAGTGTCTCTGGCAGACAGGTTTTTCCTTGACTTGAATGCAACCCGATCATGCCTGTGCAGTCACATAGGATGTTGTGCATAAAGAAATGATGTAAGTTCTAAAAGTAAAAGCAAATTTAAGGGAGAAAAATTCCACAGGGGTGGTTGATAGTAGAATGACTGTCTGGCTCAGTCCCTGTGCAGTAGGGGAAGTATTCTACAGGGGAGTGATCATACAACTTCACCCTGTCTTTATACGTCTGCTCCAGGTGTCCCCTCCCAGTGCTGCTGGGGACAGGACAAAAGTTTGGGGTACAATAATCAATGATCCCATAAGAGGAGATAGAATGCTTCAGAGTCAACAAAAATAAAAATAAATTCATCTCTCACAGTTGGTAGTGGGAACTGAGCATCTCTGCAACATCTGTTTTTAAAGGAGCCATCTCCTCTTAAAATAGTAACACCTCTTCCACATGGATGTTTTACACGGGTATATACTGGAACTGAAGAGCTTCCCCTGCAATCAGTAGACAGTAAGTGGACTAGCAGGCTCCAGGGCTCTCCTCTTAGTCTCCAAAACATGAAGGAAAAATAGAAAGTTGGTCAATGCTCAGCTGTAAGCCAGCCCATGGAGCACTTTTTTTTTTTTTTGGGGGGGGGGGGGAATACATCCCTGCCATCAGCAATTTTGAAAAATGTAATATTTTCCAAATTCTGCTTAAATGTGAAAGAGGTGAACATCTGGCTGAATTACTTAGTCAAGCAGTTTTCAGAGCAAGTTTTATGTCAGCTCATAAAGAGGCAGAACAAATACTGTGTCTTGGCATCTCTTTTTTTCAAGTAGATTTTAATGTGCTGTTTAGATTCATCTCTATCCATCATTTTACTCCCATGATAATTATGGGATCGTGCCATGTCTTTTGATTTGTTACCATCAATCTAAAGGAAACTCTTTCACTTTGCTGTTATTGCATTACCTTAGTGTGGCAGATAACTCCCTTCTGAGATACTTCCTCTGTGATAAAAGAATTTTAAAAGTCTTGCTTGGTTGCCCCACAATCAGAGACAGGCTCCTCTTCTGGGTGCCAGAAAGTAAACACTTTCAAGGAAGCAAAGGCTGTAAGGAAACATTGGTGACTTGAGACTGCATTATCACTCAGGATCTTCAAACATGAGATTTACAAAAGCAGTAAGAGTTTGTTCATAGATCTGTGTGAGGATGAAATTAAGCCAATGCCGTGGGCTTTTGAAAACACTGTAGTTATTACTAGAAGGCTTAGGGGTCTTCCTGCACACTGGAAAATCAGGGAATGCAGAGGATGATTTTTCCATAAGTGTTACAAATCCAAAAGATCATGAGGTTAGTGAGTTCATCTGATGTGCACTGACTAAGGGTCTGGGCAGTAACTTTTGGAAATGTAGCGTTTATTCAACCCAATTTTAGCTGTGGGCATCACATCTCAGCTGCTGGAATCTAGGAAGCTGCAAGTTATTTCTCTCCTGCCTTTTGGCTTCTTTTTCTTATAAAGCTTTTTGCGTGGGGGAAGGGGAAGGGAAAGAAAGGGATGGGAAGGAGAACAATAAAACATTTTATCCTCTCTTTCAGAGATGATCATGTGGCTGTTCAAGAATCTCTGTGCATCTTACTTCATGCATAGAGTCTGCTAGAAAAGTTTTTCCCAGTTGCTCAAATGTTGCTACAGAAATGTTGCAACTGTCTTCAAGGCACCTGGGACCAGGCAGCTCTAAGTGAATGGTTTTTTAAATAATGTGTTTTGATGGAAAAATCCACAGAGGAAAAAATTTGAAGGGGAAAAAATGCTTTGCTAAACTTGGAGCTACTTAAGGAAGCCAAAATTACCTTGCATTTTATGTTAGTTGATGACATCCTGTCATCCCGGGGGACGTGCCCCACCAGCCCAGGGCAGTCAGCATGGGATGGACAGGCAGACAGGCTGGGTGCACAGGAGTCCTGAGCTGTGTACCTGGATCTGGTGCTGGAAAATCCACATACGTGTCCTGCATGAGGTCTCTTTTAATCAGGTTTTGCGTAGGCATCTAGAATTTGGCTCCACCTTAGTGAGTTCTGAGGGAAAGGAGTGGTTGGGTTGTGCTTTTTTTTTCCTTTTTCTTAAGCACTGTTGGATGCAGTTGCTAACGAGGCAGCTGGATTGGTATTGCAAACAGCAGCGGCATCCTCTGAGCGGGGAAACATCCTTATGCTTTTGCAGAGCAGCTACCATATGAATAGTTCCTGGAGCGTAAAGCATCTCTGCCTAGTAGAGACACACCACTGTCTGTCTCTGGGAGAGAACCTAAAAATACATGTAGGAATTGGAAGCTGGAGTCTACCTCCTAGTTTAAGTGGTAAACTTATTTCCTTAGGGCTAAATCCCGATGCCTTTGAAGTCTGTGGCAGGGGTCCCACTTGACTTTGCTAAAGCCAGGCTTTGGCCTTTACTATTTCATGGACTCTGGAGATTATCCAGTATGAAGATACTGCTGTGATTCCTTCATTCAGTGCAGAGAGGGGAAGGCTGTACCTTTGCTATGCTGAGGGACAGCCCCGTTGGGCAATATGGCAGAAAAACAGTGGGCAACCAAGGATTTCATAGTATGGGAGAAGTACCATTATTAACACTTGCACATGCTGTGCAGCAAATTATCCCCTCTGCCTAGAGTGGGAAAATTTCCATCCCCTTTCGCATCTGATGCATCTTTTCCAGGGTAGGCTTTGCTAGAAAATGAGTCAAGTTGCATTAAAAGAGGGAGGTGGGAATAAAGCTGAGCTCAGACAAAGTAAATATTGATTGACTTGTTCTTACATACAAAAATGGTCAAGGTTTTTGCCAAAATCAAGGAACAAAGGTCTTCTCATTATTCTCCTCCCTTCCTGGCCAGCAACACTACAGGCCTCAGACTGGATTGAGTCTACAACCCTTCTGGCCAACATTGAGGATCTCTTTTAAGTGCCAGTTCCCCAAACATTGGGTATTGTGCTGAATATTTTGTAGTTAAGGGTGAAAGAGGCCAAATTCCAAGGCCCCTTTGGAGAAGGAGCTCATTTTTTCTTTGGACAACCTTTGATTCACTTTTCCTTTTAATCTAGGAAAGCTGCAATCCCATGGTGTTAGCTGATGTGCAGCCATGATTGGCACTGCCGCATTTCTGATTGTTAAATTCTTACCTTGCGAGATCAGCATTTGGATTATATAGCCCAGGCTAGCTTCCCCAAAGAGCACTTAAATACAAGAGTTAGCTGGTGATCGAGTAATAGGGATTGCATTTGGGCAGGGAAGAGGGAAGGAAATAGTTATCCTAGCTCGTTTTCAGCAGTGGTAGTGTCATAGTAATCATTATAGCCTTATCTTTATCTGTCTATACCATGTAGGTAACATCTTTTATTAGGCCAAATGTTCAAGCTGGAGTAAGAGAACAAGCTTTTGGGCACATGAGCACCTTTTTCAGGTCTGGGCACATTTACCTTTGCAGCTTTTCTCATGTAGACCTCGGCATCTTCCCCAGTTAAGTAGTTCAACTGAGACTGCCGCCAGCTGGCTCCAGTTTGTGTGGCTCTTGCCTGCTAATCTGCCTTGGACTCCGAGCTGTGTGTGACTCCTGTTAGACCTTCAGGCCAGAAACCAGAGGATTCTGCTTGTCTGTCCATGGCAGAGTTCTCCTGGAGTTGGTGGAGAAAGATAGGTACCTCTGGACATCAATCCCTCTCATCTTGTCTTGAACAAGGCACGTAGCTCCTAGGGGATAAACGCTGAAGGGGAGTCCTACCTTTACTGCTCAGTGGCAGCCATAACTAATTTCTCAGCTCTTCACAAACCAAGTCTGGTTCCTCCAACCTATTAAAATAATTTAAGGCTGTAAGATGATCCTCTGGGAAAGAAGTACTGCTGTGGACAACCTTAAGCGGTTCAGTGAAATCTAGGTGCAATTTTTTCATGCTGGGAGGCACCTTCACTTCCCTAAACTCTCCAGAGTCTCAAAGATCAAAAGCTGCTTCTTGCTAATTTGGAGAGAGACACATACAAGGCCTTTGCTCCCTTTGAAAGTTCTGTAACTTGCCTTCTGGGGATATAAAATTTTGCAATCCAGCTCAGTCTGTTGTTCAAATTCCTTTCCAGCTGTGTGGTCAGTACTAAGAATTAAATCCCAGAGAAGTGGACTATTGGTGCTCAGTGGGAAATTTCCTTGTAGCGAGGTCAGCTCCCTCCAGAACATCTGGAGCTGGTCCCTGGTGGGACAGGATAGCCAGCCAGATGCACCATGGAGCTGATGCATTTTGGCAATTGTTGGTGACCAAGTTGAGCATGCACTTGCTCCTCATGTGATGTGCAGAAGATGTGCTCTCCATTCTGATTATTTGAATGTATATATGTGAGAGAATGGTTGGGGTTTCCTGCATCCTGTTGCCTTTTTGCATGGACTGGTTTGACCCCCCCCATACCCATCCAGCCCTTGGGTTGCCCAACACCTCACATTTTCTTTGTGCTTCCCTTTCAGATGTGGATGTTCTTCAAAGACTGGGCCTGTCAGGGAAAAGGCCATCGAGCGGATGGTCCTCATCACGTACAGTTCCTCAAGGAGTCATTCCTTTCAAATCAGGGGTCATCTTCACTCAGCGAGCACGTGTCGAAGCACCAGTCAGCACCATCCTCCCCACAGGCTCCAGCACTGACCTGCTCCTAGTGCTGAGCCTCTGCTCCCACCGCATCAACAATGCTTTTCTCTTTGCCATCAAGAGCAAAAAGAAAAAACTGCAGCTGGGGGTCCAGTTTGTGCCTGGAAAGATCATAGTATATGTGGGCCACAAGCGCTCTGTATATTTTGATTACAATGTCCATGATGGCCAGTGGCACAATATGGCCATCGATATCCGTGGCCAGACAGTCACTTTATTTACTTCTTGTGGGAAGCGCAGAGTACATGCGGATTTGCATCTTAAAAAGGACGAGGCATTGGATCCACATGGATCTTTCCTCTTTGGGAAGATAAACCAGCACTCCGTGCAGTTTGAAGGAGCCATCTGCCAGTTCGATATTTATCCTTCTGCCAAGGCAGCTCATCATTACTGTAAATACCTGAAAAAACAGTGCAGGCAAGCAGATACCTACCGGCCGAACCTGCCCCCCCTCATACCCCTCCTGCCCAGGGATCCCAGTGCCTCCCCAAGTACCCCACAGCGGATGGAGCCCTCGCTGCAGGGTCTGAAAAACCTGACCACTGCTGCCCCATCCTTGGAATTTGGCAGGGTCACTGCACCCCTCAAGACTCGGAGTTCAGGTGCAACAACCATTGCGTTGGTATCAGCCCCACCATCACTGCCAAGACTGACAACCAAAGCCACAAAGGTCACAGTGGCCCCATCTCCTGTTCCATCGAGTACTGGAACACAGCCACCCGCCCGTTCACTCCCTTGGGGGACAGTGACGACCCTCAGGGTCTCTCGGCCCACTCCCAGCATGCACATGGAGAAAAATCCCTTTCCCACGGCCAAAAAGGCCCCACCAACAAGCCAGAGCCCTGCTGTGGCCAGCAGGAAGGAGTCCAAGCAAGAGACCAAAAAGAAGATCAACCAAAAACCCACCATTGAGCCCTCTGAAGCACCCAGTACTGTAAAGCCAATGAGGAGGATGACTGATAACACAACCAGCAATGTCCACTTTGTCACCCTAAAGCAAACCCCACAGAACCCAAGCAATGGGCCCGTTCCAAAGAAGCACGTGCCGTCCCCCACCAGGAAAGTGGATCCTAGTAACATCCCTCTGGTGTACACCAAACCTCCCCTGGGGTCTGCCCGTCCTGTCTCCAGAGCCAGGGTACAGGCCTTCAACCTCACCACCCCAGCTGTGACTGACGGCTATCAAATCTTTGACCCCCTTGGACCCACTCCGTTTCCATTTTTACTGGGATATCCAGGAGTGAAGGGAGAGAGAGGACCTCAGGTAAGTTCAAGCTCTTGATGTTGAGTATTCCCAGTCATAGCTCAGCTAAATGGTTGGCAGACCATGACCTACAATGGGTTTCTATGATGTTTAGTGGAGTGTGACAACTCAAAATAGCAGCCAAGCACTAACACACTTCTAATGATCACAATTTTAGCACATATCTCAGTGTAAACTGGAGTGCTCTGTGATGGTGGGTGCCCCTTAAAAGTCTGTGATTAAAGTTGCTGCTTAATGTTAGATTTAAGAAAATTTAAAAAACAAACAAGCAAAAAAAAAACCCAACACCCACCTTCCTTCCTACAAGTTGCTGGTTAAAATTTTGATGGCCAGGTCGGAGCTTTGTTCCACACCCCTGGTTTTTCTCAGGGCCAAGAGAGCAGAACTGCTGGTCACCTTCCAAAGAAAACCCAGGTGCCTCAAAAACATGCCACAAACTAACTATTTCTTAACACTGGTTATTAATCTGTTTTGTACCTGAAATTCACATTTCCAGAGAAGTGCCCTGTTTCAGCAAATGCAAGTACAGAGATTGCTTCAGGATTTATTTTTTTAAACAAACTCCCCCCTATTTTTATGGTATAAGTTAATTTTATGTTATTTTTTTTTATTTCTCATAGCCCACACTTAAAACGTGCAAAGAGTTTCCTTTATAAACTTAACTACTCTATTCCACACACAATAATCACTCTCAGGATGTATATCTTGGCCATCATAAAAGTATACACACATTTTGTAATGCTAAAAGCAGTCAGGCCACACTAATTATCTGCTAGCTTTTTTTTTTTTTTTTTTTCCAAATGCAAGAATGCAAACAGGATCTTTAAACTGGCCAACTTTTAGGAGGATTTGGTGTTCCTACCCAAGCCTTTTGCTATATTGTGTATACGAGAGAGGGGTTGCACATGTAAAATAAGTTTCTCCCAGACGGAGTCTTCCGTTGCCAAGTTCCAGCCTAGAGCAAATTTTTACAGCTGACTTCTTAAAATAGTGGAAGAAGGGTTTACAATGGAAATATTGAGACTGGCTTAAGGAACACAATCAACAGCACTTGTGTCTGCAGATGTGCTGCTCATTGTTACAAGTAAAAAAGCTAAAGTGAAATGGTTGTGTTTCCGAAGCCCTCAATGGGTGCTTACCTGCAAGGTTTGCATTTCCTGCCTGTCCCATTTCAAAGCAGTGTGGTGATTTCTCTCCTTGTAATTTGGGTGGGGAGTCACTGATGGGGGTGTTTCGTTCGAAGGTTCCCATCCCTGGGGGAGGTGAAGATGCTCCCCTGGGCAGGGGGATGCAGCACAGGCAGCCTTGCTCTCCTGCCTGACTTTACAGGCATGCATCCCTGATGTAGTCTTTGTACTTGGAGAAGTTTTGCTAAATCCCCGAGTACACAGCATGAGCTTCAGTGATTTTATCTTTGGGCAGTCTTCTGTGTTTTGTGGAGAGTTGTTTCAGGCATATTTCCAAGAGGAGAAATTCAGCAATTGTGAACTTCTCTTAAAACACTATTTACCTGTAAGGTGTAAATCTTGGTGGCCTGCTCTGAGCCCAGTGAAATTCTGACCTTTCCCAACTTCTTGCCCTGCAAGTATCATGAGGGTGACCAAGCTCCAAGCCCCCACTTCCCCCTGCAATGTAAAGAGCTTGTTATTGAACTGGAGTGGAAAATCCTTCTCAGCTTCTGAATGAATCATAGCAAAGAAACTGATTCAGGCTGTGGAGGGCTGAGGGAAGAGATGGCAGGATTTTTCCATCCCATCTGAGAACAACTGGAGTCCTGAACTGAGGGAAAGGAGAACATTTTGAGGCTCTGTCTGGCCTTATCCTCTTTGACTGCTGGAAACAAAGTCGGCACTTTGGGAGGGAAAGGTTATGGCTTGGCTGGAGCTGGCTGCTGTGCGGTGCTTGATAGCTCCTGTGACTCACTCCGAGATCTCTGTACCATACTTTGTTGGATGTCTCTGACATGGGAAGAGAAAGAGGAGAAAAGACCGGAATGGGGATGACATGTTGAGAAATTAATGTAGTGCTTCTATAGCCAGACAAGCATGTTTCAGAACAAGTGCTGATAAATGCTCTGTGCTTGAGTAATTACCTGGCGCCGTCCTCGTGTTGTTGGGCAGACGTTTCTGATGAGGTCAGTACAGCCCTTCCTGCTCTGCTGCATGATATCGCAGCCCGGCGCTTTCTCTGGACAGGGCAGGTTATGGGCTGGGAACGTCATTCAGAGTCTAGCACATGGGTGGAAGGATACGTGATTAATTATTTTTCCCAGTTGTGTTGCCTGATACAAGGTCTCTTCAAGAGACAAGACTGTCACTCTGGGCAGAGAAGTGTGTATGGGAAACTGCCTTCTACCTTTTCAGCAAGGATTGGGGCCACCTTGGCAATAATTTCTGGGCAGAGGCATGCTGGCAGCCAGCAGCCCCCAGCCTGTCCTGCTGCCACTTAGAAAGAAAGGACTGTCCTTAATCCTGATCATCCCAAAATCAGGATGTGAATGACAGCCGCGGTGCAAGGCAGTGATGACTCAGGCTCTGTGGTCTCTGTGCAATTCTGGCTTTGTGAATGCTAGCAAAATAACTGTGGTATAATCTTAGCAGTGCAGAAGGGCCCCATCCCCACAATTGAGGGAGGTGTACGCACAGTTAGAGGAGTGCAAGCAAGGAGCTAAAAGGATCTGTTCACCTAGCAATAAAAGGCAACATCCTCCGTGGATTAATCTGTCCTGGAAAGACCACCACTGTGCTGCGCAACAGGAAATAGAGATGCTGCGTCCCACATGCAACTAGTGGCAGAGCATTAATTCTTCAGGAATGTTGGGTTTGCTGGGCAGCTAGTGGAGGGAGGATAATATGTTCTTAAAAAAGAAAAATTTCTTGGGAACCATTAATAACCACAAGCATTTGGGATCTCAGCTCTACATTTCTTTTGGAGGGGGGAAATAGCAAAAAGAACACCCAAACATCATGCTAAGTCAGTAATGCAGCACTGACTCAGCAGATGGCAAACGTCCCTCTGAGTCATCCACGGCTGCCCGCAGCACCTCTGCTGAGCTTTGCTCAAGATCTCCCGTCCCTGTGCGGCGCCAACTGGGCCTTCGCTCAGCTTGCAGAGCTGAGCCCAGCACATGGCTGCAAGTAGCTTGGATACCCACAAAAGAAAAATATATATTGAAAAATAGGATTTTTGTTGCCAGCGTGTCAAGCCCTCGAACTCTTGTAAGGCTGTGAGGTGATAGGTGTTTGAATCCTTTGGTAGATGGGGTATCATCTGCTCGTCTATACCAGCAGCAGGGTTGACAGGGAGATTTAGGGGGCCGTAGCCCTCTCCCCTGCCCATCAGCACTGCCTGCTGGGATGTGCATGCTCTGTGTAATGTGGTAAAGCTGCAGCAAACCCCTTGCCCTGGCACAGCTGGGGTCTAGCTGGCTTGTCCACAGTGTACCCCAAGTTGGCCCTTCCTCCTCCTGTGTAAGAAAGCTGTAATTCCATAACTTTTTGGCCCTTACAAACAAAAAATACTGAAATTGACTCTTTCAACAAGTGTCTGAGGGTTATTTTTAGAGCAAGAAAACCACACCTGATGCTGAACGTGCAGAGGAGCGGACCAAGTTCACTAGGAGGCTGTGCAAGCACTGAGTAACGCAAGAGGAGCGGGGAGGGAGCGTGTTTCAAACGACTCCCCAAGTATCCGAGTCGGAAGAGTCCCTGGGTGGGAACACCAGCAGCCTCCAGTTCCCATCTGCACGGCGCGGTGCGCAGCCAGGAGCCCCAGGTTCAAACCCTGGTGGCAGCAGCCCAGCCAGAGGTGTGGCGTTACTCTGGCAGGCAGCCTTCTTTCAAAGGCAGATTTCGGAGCGTGTCCCCAGTCTAGACTGCTCCTGCTGCCATCTTCTGCACAAGCAGTTTGTCTTGGAGCCCAGCTCCTTTCATAAAGAAGCAATCCTTGCCAATTCAATCAGTGGGTAGGGGAGAGAGAGGTGATTGGGAACGCTGATAAAATATGAAGTGCCTATTTCCAGTCTTCCTTGTACCAGAAAAGGCTACTCAAGCTGACAGTCTATGATAAATTAAGGAACACACAATGTGTTTGAATGTCTCTTAATGAATGAGTCATATTAATAAAAAAAAAAAAGATCGCACGCTTTGTATAATACATGGGAAAAGTTTTAGCCTCAGTCACAAAGTTGGATCATAATTTTTTTGCTAATTTAACCAGAACTATCCCCAAAGGGAAGCCTTCTTGCAGGCAAATGACTAAGCACCAGAGAGCTCTATCTGCGTAAAACAAAATTCATTTTGAAGAGCGATAGTTGAAAGTGTGATTGAGATAAATGTGCTGCAAAGGATGTAGGGTTGTATTGTATAAATATATACAGGTATTTTTATAAATCTTTAAAAACAGAAAGTGAGTGATAGAGTATGGGATCCCTCTATTTCTTCACACCCCTTCAGACTCCCTTCCAAGGTCTGAGATTGCTCAAGAGTCTGAAGTGCCTCATGCAGAGACTGTTCCTGAAATGTCTCTAAAGAAAAGCTGCTCTTATCAAGCTGGAATACTAATATTTTGTTATGTATTGTGCTGTCACTCTATTAGTAATCCAGTTGTGGACAAGGACTTTTCTGTGATAGGTGTTGTACAGACCCAGAATAAACATCTGTGTCTATTGCAGAAATCATATTACAAGACTGGCTTTTCACCAACATCTCGGTTCCTGCCAGAATTATGAGGGCTTTTTCATTTTAGACTGGTTGAGACCCAGATGTGTCCAAATTTAATATGATAAGCCTGCCTTGGAGAAGAAAGTAACCAAAGTGCTGGATTCCCCCACCCCCCCAAAAAAACCCCAAAAAATAATTCCAGGTTTATTTTAGGCAGTACTTCAATCCAGGTTTTAGTTTAGGTCCTATCTCCCTCTCTGCGCAGTGCCTGGCAAGGACAGTGAAGTGGGGTTGGTGTGTCTTTTGAAGATGAAATCTTCTCCTTCCTTTCTCTTCTCCTGAGCTAGGGGACTTTTAATTCTAGTGCTGCCCATTTAGCTGCTCAGTTTCTCTGTGCTGGTGCTTTCCAGACGTACAAGGCTAAATGGTGGATTTGTGGCAGTGGCCTTGCATATGAAATATGCCTCATCCTCCTCCAGGAAGAAAACAAGACAGGTTCTCTGTCTGCAGGGGTAACATCACTGCTCAGAACTTGATGCCAAAGTGAGGAGAGGCTTTTGATGCATTTTTCTGAACTCCCTTTTAAGTTGGGTTTTACCACATGCATTAGCATCTGAGAAAGAAGAATGTTCTCTCTTCTCTCTTCAATCCTTGCAGTGTTTTGCACAGTGCAGGATGCCCACCTCTGAAATACAACCCTTTCTGGGATAAAGAACTGTGCCACTAATGCCCTGCAGGGGTACAGAACAGGGGAGGCAGAAATACATTGGGGAGACCCTATAGATGTGTCAGTCTATCAGTGTGCGCTGGAATAGGAGCTGAATTGTGTCCTGGGTAATTGTCAGCTATTTGCTACTAGGCTGAGTACTTGCCCCTGGGGAAACCATTACAGGAATACTTTGCTATCTAAGCAAGTTGATTTAGTAGTCATTCAAAAGGAAGCGAGTCATTTCCCAAATCAACAGCACCAATTCCTGTACCGATTATGCTTTTCTTCAAGTCCTCTCCCAACAGGTTCAGCCTTGCTCAGGTTTTGAGATCTGAAGGCACCTAGCTCCCAGTGGCGTTGCTGCAGGCAGAGGAAGCAGTGTGCGGAGGGTCATGATGTGGGAGAGGCAGGGGTATAAACTGGCTGATCTCGGCAGCAAGAGGAAAAGTTGAGATTTCTCTTGTCCTCAGGGTCCGATGTATTTCGCTTTCAGACAACTTAATTTTCCATTTGCAATTTGAAGCTCGAAAAGCTAAGACAAAAAAGTCTCTTTTGCGCCAGAAAGTTTCCCAGCAGCAGCTTAGAATAAATCCTATAATCATTTGGTGGGATCAGTCATCATTGCTAATGCTACCGTGGGAAACTGAGAAGGGTTAAACTTTTATGTGGCTGCCATTAGCTACTTCACAGAACTGTTCAGGCTGGTTAACGATTCAGCTGTTTGGCTTGAGAAGAGAGAGTATCTGCTTCTGCCACGTTTCTCCTTGATCTCGGATTTTGCTTTGTGTGATAACAGGGTGTGTGTTCTCTGCCATCAGTTTGCAGAAAGGAGTAGGCAAGAAGCCAGAGAGACAAGAACCAAAGTGCTAGGAACGGCAGCTCGCTGCAGGAGGCTGTCAGCTTTGCCGATCTCATGGGGCATCCGTGCAATGGGAGGGCAGGAGCAAAGGAGTGATATCTTCTTCCAGCTGCCAGGAGAAGGAAACCTTCCTGCCTCTCAGAGCACTTCCCACTGCTCCCTATGGAATTCCCCAGGGATGCTCTAAAGGATACAATGGAAAGGTCCACACAGGCTCTGTGTGAACAATTTAACTCTTCCCTGCACCCCTGCATTAGGGGTGAGGGTGGAGATGTCTCTGGTGAGCGTGGGGACTGCATGGGCATGACCTCCAGGCGGACTCTTAGCAGCTTGGTGCGTGGTGGCTCGTTGATAGATGTCTCTTGCTTTCCATGTCTTGGAGCCTTACATTTTAAGTGGGACTGCATCCATCATCTGTAAGTAGCTGGGCCCTGATCCAGTCTTATTCTTCTCTGGCTGCCTCTTCGGATGTGCGTTTTTCTTGTGTATTTCAGTATTGCTCTCCCCAGGCAAAGCCAGTTGTCTGACGTGGGCCTCTTGTTTGAGAACTTGAGCTGGGTGATATAGAGGCATATGTATAGGGCAGAGGAGAAATGAGTCACTAGGAAGGCACAGTATGTGTCTCATTCAATCCAACTGCCAAGGAACTGTGTGAGAAGCTAGAAGGTGGTCTTGCAGCACATCATGTCTCACAACTACCCGTGTTCATCCAGCTACCCCAGTCCTCTTCCACCTTGGCTTGCTTCTAAGTTTTATGTGGTCACACTCTTGCCTTATGCAGTTACCCTAGTGGTTGGCACCTTTTAGCCATTCATCCTACAGTCACCTTATTTCTCTTCCTCTTCAGGAGAGGAAAAAAAAAAAGACTGAAGGAAAGGCAAATTAAATCAAAGCAAAGCAATAGGAGTCCTGAATTATGTGCTGCTCTTTCTGTGCTGTTCCAGCTAGATGCCTTTCCCTTAACTCCGTATTCCCACTCCAGTGCAGGTATTAACTCTCTCCTTACTTTTATGTTAGCTTCAGTTTATTCTGAACAGCCCACATTTTTGGAGAAGGTTTTTACTCAAGTGGCCAAGTACAATTGCAGCTGCTGTTAGCAGGAAGGTGGAAAAGGTCACCTCAATTCTGGTGCGCAAGGAATGCAGTTCTCAGTTGCATCTTCTCTTTTACTTCACCTTCTAGGGGTAAATGGGGATGTGTTTTGATGGAGAAGAGGCTAAGGAGCTGAATTAATCTTTGGTAAACTCTATTAACTGTTGCTGCATCAGTTGCATTGGATTCATGTTTTGGTAGTTATCTTCCCAAATAAAAGGGCAAGGAGATTTTTTTAATAAAAGCTTGGATTCTGGAGCACAATTATACACAAGGCTTAAAAAACCCTACAATCATGTGTCTATTTGCACAGCTGTATAATTGCATTATGCATGGGGCCCTGAGCTGGCACAATGGCAGGTTAAAATACTGTGTATATTGGTAAAATGAGGGTCAGCTGTATCAATGAGGGTTGTTAATACAAGGACCAGTAATACTGTGTTAACCAGCAACAAGCAACTTGCAAAGGGGTCAGGTGAAGTGTCCCAAGCTACAGAGACTGGAAATCCTCAGGACAGGCAGCTGTCTTGGGTAGTAGTAGTGAGTGATATGGTGGTAGAAGTCTATCCCTGTGTGTCTTTGTGGGGCATTAGCTATTCTATGCTGTGTAGGCTCTCATACTTTTAAAACAATCCTTTTCTTGTCATCTTTACTACAGATAGAAGTAACTGCAGAAAAAAATATATGTTATGATTCATTTGATGCAAATTAGTAGCACAGAGAAACCTACCCTGGGCTTTGCTTACTCCTCCTGTTTTTTTTCTACTGTACCAAATTTGGCTGGATGTCTTTTTTAAAAATCACTTTTATACAAATTAATTTGCTGCTTATTGTAGGAGGGTTGGTAATATTAGGGCAGTGTTTATTCATCAGTTACCTATATGGTTCAGGCAGTTTTCTGCGTTCAAAATCTTATCCTGGGCATGAGATTTAGGGTAGGGATCTCCAGCGTTTATTTTTGTTACTGAATCATGCACTTGATGACTCCTGAAAACTGCATTAGATATCGTGAACTTTTCATTCTTCCTCAGGGCCAGTAATATGCTGCAGAGCCTGAGCAGTTCTGCCTGGCAATCCTTCAGCAGCAACAGGGTCAGCCTTGCAGCAGGCTCCGCTCGGGGTTGATTGTGCATGTGAGGTCCTACAGAGATGACCCAGTGGGAAGGGAGTGAGTCCGTGCTGAGGCCAGAGTGTGTCCGTGGGGCTTGTGCTGCACCTGCTCCATGTGATGCACCCATCTTCCCTGCGGAGCGTTGCTCCTGGGACCTGCTCTCCTGCCTGCCACGCAGTTGGAGAGCTCAGGCTGCCTTCCAAACATCCTTCAGTCTGCTGCTCTGGATCTCTCTCTCCCCTGGATGCAATGAAAGCTCGTCTTTTGTAACAAGCTACTAGAATATAAATCCTCTGGGAGACACTTTAATTAACAGTTATTCTTGTTAGACATATTTGGCTTGGAGGAAAAGAAGTTTTGAGGAGTTATTAGGAGCTGCAAATGGCTCTCCAGAAATCTGAATTCTCCAGTCCATTGAAAAAATGAATAAATAAATGAATAAATTCAACGGAGTTCAAACCTCACTGGTTAAGTATTTTTTCCTAACCTGTTTCAGATCAGTGCACAGCTGGGCGCCTGATATCTCCACTTTGTTCTCACCCTCTTCCAAGAACCCCCACTACTCTGACATGTATGAGTTGACCTCTCCTATATTACAGAGCTGCATTTAAGAATTTCCAACATTGACACCAATTTTATTACATTTTATAACACGCCGCTTTAAAATATGAAGTGCTGGGATGCGATTGTGTTGCAACTCATGTAGGAACCTACAATACCAAGAACTATATCTCTTCAGCTGATATATATTACAACACACAATGTTCTTCCCTCGCCAAGGTGCTAACACGTTACTTCTGTTGTGCGCTAGCACGTAGCAGGAAAACTCCGAAGCTGAGAGACAGTTGTGTCACCCTTGTGTTACAGCATGGGTCCAGGAAAGTGGAAGTGTGAAACACAGCTGTGTTCACAGGGATGCAGTCCGCAACAGAAAGATATGCTTCTGCAGATGTTATTGTGCATGGCTTTTTATCCCTTTATAGGAATAGCATAAGTTGAAGGGAAATTCTGGCCATGGTGTTATAACTGGCCCTTCTCCCCAGGTCTTTTCCAAATGGTTGTATTGTGGGTCTCCCTGAAACACTGTCAGGAGCACCATCCTGTTATAGAACCATCAGTAATACTTGTTTTTATTTTTCTAGGGTCCACCAGGTCTGCCAGGCTTACCAGGACCACCTGGCAAGAGAGGTTCCCGAGTAAGTGGTTTAAAAATTTCTATCCATTTGTACTTGTATCTGCCTGTTCTACTGTTCTAAGGGCTGTTGTATGTTCCTGTGGCTGAATAATGATTGCTTTAAGCCCCACTGTTGAGGTCTAGCCTTCCTTCTTTCTCTCATTCCCTGTTAAAGGTTTTCAGGAGGCCATGCTGGTGATTTGCAGCCTCTATGAGCTAAGGTTTGGCATCAGCAAAGACTGGGGATGAATGCTTCTAAATGGCTGTCAGAAGAATGAGTTTTGTCTGTCTCATTTTGTTTCTGGTATTCATTCCTTTTTGCAAACCCAGTGCTGAATATTAGCTTTGGCTGCATTTTGTTCTGTCCTTCACTGTCCCCAGCTTCCCAAACTGCTTCTTTTGAGGTCTTTCACTGTCACTGTGCCTTCACTTAGTGGGACCATGGTCTAGGACAAAGGACTTGACACACAAGGATGAGCTTTTATGTTCCCCAGATGGAGACCTGGTCTCTGACTCCTTTTCAAGATCTAGAGCAAAATATCTTAGCTGTTCTACAAGATCCATTGCAAATTCCTGTATTTCTTCTTCCCCACATTAAATTCTGATGCAGATCTTTGAACATTGAGTGTTAAGCTGAGGAAACATCTGGTGCTGTGAGTGCTGCAGCTAGCTGTGAGAAAAGCTTTCTGCATTGGCCTAGCTGCAGAAATAGTCTCCCAAAGCTGGGCAACATGCCTGACCTGGATACGGTTAACTGTTGGCACCATTTTCGTGGTAGCACGGTGCTGTCCCACAAGGTACGGTCATGCAGCCCATTTCCTGAGCACTGAACTGATGTGGGTTGGGAATCAAAAGATGCAAGTGTCTGAGGCTGGAATAGGGGAATATTTGGATCCGTGATCCAGGCAGCATCCTGGCCTGGCAGCAGAGGGAGATTTCCTCACACATACTTGGCTAAAACTCAACCCCATGTAATGTCTTTAAAGAACAACCAAGAGGCTAAGAGCTAGAAGGTTGTGCATTCCCTGAGGACACTTGTTACAGTACTGTGAGATCTTGCAGTAACCAGTAAAGATCAACACACCTCCTTTCTACAACAATAAAAGCCAAAAGGTCTGCAGGACCCCCAGCAGCCTGGGCATGGATTTCAACAGACCTGAACACTGATTTGGGCTGTAAGTGTAAGGCATTAGATAGCACCAGGCTCATGTGTTTTATAGATAGGACAATCTGTTCCACATTAGATATGTTCTTTAGTGAAACATCAGCACCACTGGTTGTACAGCCCTGATGTCTTCTGTTTACAAATGCCTGAGCAGCAACCACATCAGCAAATTGCTCAGAGTTTGCAGTTCTTGGCAAGTCCCCATTAAGGCTGAGAGTTTCTTCTTACTGCAGCTCATTACTCACAAAAGGTATTTGGTGTTACTTCTTGCAACCCTGTGGTGTGCAAACTAGGCTCCATGTCTAGAGACCCCAGCTGCATACCCTGCCTGCTGTGTGAATGACCAAATTTCAGCTCTACGTCAAAATTCCACTACCTACCAAAGCTTGAATTTTTCTGAAGAAAAAAGCATTGTGGAAGCTGTGTCATAACTTTGTGTTATTCCCCAGCTGTGGCATGCTCCATCCTGTATTTAAGAGGATCCTCTGAAAGACAATAAGCAACAGAGGATTTCTGAGTTCAGTCCCTACTAGAGGTGCTGAGAATCAGCCCAGGAAAGAGTTCCCAGTTAGGAAGTGCTCAGCACAGCTGAGCCTAGCTTGGCTCAGACCTCTGCAAAGAGGCTGTGCTAATTTTGGGAGGGGGCAAAAGGGTCACTCTGTAAATGTCTGGCCTGGAGCACTGGAGACAGAACTGCTCTGTGCATAAAGTTGTTTTGACTTTGCAACATGTTTCTTCTAGTATTTTTTTCTTGTGGCTCTTTGGGGTTTAAGGATTTCATTGCAAAGAAGAGGAGCTGCCAGAAACAAAGACAGGCTTAGGGGAATTCTCGAGTCTTTTGCTTTTGTTGTGCATGAGCCACTTAAAAATAAATGTGCAACACTGTAGGGGTTATGTTCTACGTCTGCCTAACCCAATCCTCAAAGCAGCTGCAGAGTTCTTGCACCAGCCCAGCCCATGGGTAACCCATGGGGTGTCCCATGAGGCTCCAGCCAAAGATTGGAGCTCCTGAGGGGAGGTGAATATTGCATGCAACTTTGCAGTGCTGGGTGCCAGGAGAAAGAAAGGCTTTTTTTCTTGTCACCGATGCAGTTTATGGCCAAAAGTATGAGATGTAATTGACCTTGTTGTAGCTTGCATAATTTCTACATTATTAATGCTTATACAATTATTTGGCTCATTTGAAAATCTAGTAGCAGCATTTGACTCATGACCTTCTGTAGCTGTGAAGTCCATAAAGTTGCTCTTTCGCTGATGTAGCGCAGTATTTCCACTCCTTTGAATTCTGTATTGTCTCTGTTGTATTTCCCTTTCTCCCCCCATATTGGCCAGGGTAAAATGAAAGCTCTGATTAGCTTTTGCTTTGAGGGTGAGATTGTGGTCAGTGACTGTAAGAAAAGCTGGCTGATCCCACGCTTCAGTCTCCTTATTTCCAGCAGCGAAGTACCGCTAGACGTGCCTGTGCAGTCTGAATGTTGCTCTTCCGTGTAAGCAATGATACCTGGTTTGCAACAACAAATGCCAGTCTTTGTAAAAGCATGAAAGAGGTTTTGTTCAGGACACATGTCAGCATTCAAGTGCAACCCAAGGTAGGGTAGCTACGCGAATAGTGGCAGCCCTCTTGAAAATGGGAATTTCTTGATTTTTTTAAATTTTTTTTTTAAAGCCAATCCTCATTTTAGGAGCATGGAATTAATTTTACACCCTATCACTCAGTATCAGGGACCCATTGAGACAGATTCAGACTATATCTGCAACTATGAAGGCAGAGATATATGACAAATGAAAGCTGGGTGTTTCTTTTCACTATTGCCTAAGGAACCCCAAGGGAACACAGTAAAACTGTTGCAATTCTGATGACTGGAAAGGATGGCTAATAACACTTTCTCAGGAGCTTTGCAAGCCTGTATAGATATTGCTGTATTGGTCATGTGCTCTTTACAGGAAGGTTTTCTCTATGTCTGTATCTAGCTAGGATTATTTTCAGCTTTTATGTCGGCATTAAAGAATCTGAGGCATAAGCAAGAGATCTGTCCGCACCACGTCTCCTCAAATAAATGTGCCGTGTGCCTTGGCAAGTGTCTGTGTAGGATCTGAGGTGCCTCTTGAAGGGAATGGCAGTTTTAGCAATGAAGGGTTTCCGCAGCTTTATGAGATATGAAAGCACTTTGCTGGGCATGTAGTGGGACAGCTTTTCCATGGTTGTGTGTGTGAGTGGTGGCACTTGGGTACATGCACAGCAACCTGAGCAGAGCAGTTCTGTGCAAGCGATGTGTATTGCACTTCATTTCTGCAGATGACCTTTGCATTTCTTCAAACATCAAGATTTAGTGGGGAGGCAGTGACTGAGGCTGCGTTTTGCTCACAGAGCTGTGCTAACAAGCTCTATAAGTAACTGTCAACAAAGGGCTCCCGGTGGAGCAGTAACTTCTGCACCATTGTAGCTTATTCCTGCCTCACCCAGGACTTGATTAGCTTCACTCCCATGCTGTCTGTGTGAGGGGCTATTGCCAGCACATCTATGTTGATCACAAATTGTGACTCATCCCAATCCTCACTGGTATAGCTAGACCAGCAAACTACCCCCTATTTGATTGGGTCTGCAGAAAAGTAGTGAACCATTGTACTTGGTCTTAAGTGCTGCCTTCCAGACGAGTGCTATGTAAATCCTAGTTATCTGTTCTCCTACCTGAAGCAGACAGCAAGCTGACACGTGACAGACAGGAGTCCGGTTGTCGGCTTTGCTCCCAGGACAGCAAGAAAAGAGCTATGGTCAAACTTTCCAAAACACTTAAATAATTTAGGAAGCCAGGTCCCCCTGGCAGTCGATTTCCCCCTCTAACAGGTGAGCAAACTCAGGTACAAGGGGAGTGTTTTACCCATGTCCGTGCAACAGGTCAGAGGCAGAACTGGGAATAAAAAGCCTGGCATGCTGTAATTGCTCTTGTTTTATTTAACCTCTCTGATACAGTACAGGTCAATATATATGCGCTTCCTGATGCTTTTGGGATGCTCTTGCCATCCTCCTGTGAACCTTAGCAGCTTGAAAAATTGCAAGGTCCCAGTGTAATGGGTCCTTGTTACATTTGGTGTGTGGTTGCAAAAAATCTCCCTTCCCTTCAAAATGCGGGGCTTCCCTCCTAAAACAATCAAGAACTTAACTGTAGAGGTTCCCTGATATCCTCATTCCATTAGGAAGGTTTCCCAATTTCTGCAAAGAAGTGTTTAAAGAAACAGTTTGTTTGGCTTCACTTCAAATATTTAGCTCATTTTTTCAGCAAGCCAGAGGTCAGAGTGAGATCTGTAGGTCAGGAGCAGAAAAAGTTGCTTTACACAGTGAAACCCCAAGACATAATGAGTTTTGAATGAGTGGTCATTCCTCTGACTGAAGCTTTCTAGCATTTAGCAGGAGTTTGGAGGATTTTTTCCCCCCTCCTCCTGAATGCTGGAGGGATGGGGAGAGCTGTGCACAGTTACACTTTTGTTAATTTTTGCGGGCTGTGAACCATTACATATAAAAGCGCTTCTGTGAGTAGGGTCCCATCTCCAGGCACGTCACCGAGATCAACTGGATGGCACAGTGTAGTTCTCAAGCAGCATCATTCACGTAAAAGACATTCCAGGGAGATTACAAACCCCACCACCTTTGGGAAACCCCCCCTCACTTGGAGAACACTTTCAGGGTTTGTTCTGGTCTCCGTGCCACTGAGCCTTGGACTACCGCTGTCCCTTGATAAAATTGTCCGTGGAATTTCTGGTGCAAGGCTTGGAAGATTTCAGATGCAGGTTTGCTTGCTGCTAGATTGGATTTTTTCAGCAGTTATAAGGGAGCCAAAGCAGGTGGGTAAACAGGCACATGTGCAAATAGTAATACGTGCTGTGGGATTTTTTTATTCAGTGGTCTCAGCATTGTCCCTTCCTGTGTGTGGAAAAGAGGAGAAAAACTAATGTATTGATAATAAATATATTTGGGAGAATTCCAATTTCTAAATATGAGTGGGAAATTGAATTAAATCCAGGATAGCATGAGTAAAATATAGCAGTTAACTGTAGAACTAAGCTCTTGAATTGCTTCTCCATGAAGAAAGGACTATTTCTAGGAGCACTGGTTGGAGATGGGCAATTCTGCTGGGCACAGTAAGAGAATAGGAATGAACATGGGACTAGGTTTAATAAAACAAGGGCGGGTAGCTTGGGGGCATGATGACTGTTACCGGGGCTTGCAGATTGGTACGTGGATTAATTTGTAAGGCCTGCCTGTTCAGATTTTGTATTGCTAACAGCTCCTGAGGCGGATGCTGTCCTGTACCTTTTGTTACTCAGCCCATCTAACTGTACCACACTGCATCTTCCTCCTCTGCCAAGAATGTGGGTGTAATCACAGATTCAGGACAAACCATGTTGGAACACATCAAGATCAGTTATTTTTTACCATTTTTAGGACTACTGCCAGACTACGCCCTTTTCTCTCCACAGTTACAAGAACAGTTTAAAATGTCTAGCACAAGCCCCAGACTTGGTTACAGCAGTTTTCTTGTGTGCCAGACTGGACTTCCCACTGTTGCTTCATCAGCAGGATGTGGCCACTTCTCACTAGGATAAGACCACATTGGTCTTTAGGAACAGGATGGGTCTCTGACCTTTCTTTGCCTGGATTACACACTATGAGTGTCACTGAATTCAGTGGTAAAGGCTCCATTTTATGTCAAGAGCCTGTGTTTTTCATAATCACGTGTTTTGTCACTGGATACTGGGTCTAGATACTTTCTCCCTTCTTCATTCCTTTTGGTTAAGGCCTTTTATGATTTTGTTGCTGTGCTTTGGTGTAGCTCTGGAAGAGCCTGCACCAGATTTTGCTGGAGGTGTGATTAGTCTCTTATCCAGGAGCTCTTGATCAGCAGCTGAGCTTTCTATGTTCCAGGTTTCCTCCTGGAAACTACCATTTTCAGCTAGGAGTCACACCAAACCGTGCTGTTTCCTCTAGTCTGACACTGTTTTAAGTCTGCCCCAGGCTATGGTGGAGCACGGATTTCAACTAACTGCAGTGAAATGGGCTTTGAGCCAAGCTGCCTCACTCCAAAGTTTAGTAACAGCTGAATTTTCCCCTCAAATCTAGCAGCAGTCTGGATTTATGAACCCTGTTCAGAGCTACCTAGATTATTGCTTACGTGTAAGAGCTTTTTAGGAATTCATCTTTTATAGAGACTTTACTGTTCTGATTTCTGTCACTTAATTTTCATAGATATTTGAGAATTGGAAGACTTGGGTTGAAGTGCTTTTGCTACTTGTTGAATTACCTTAAGCAGCACATTAAGTCTCAGTTTCAGTGTCCCACCCAATGAGGTGAACAGATGATGCCATAGTTTGCTGGGAAGATGAATTTATTTAAGACTACTCGACGCTCATTCTGGTTACAGCAGCTATATGGGTTTTCAAATGACAAGTTGATACTCAAACACCTTAATTTTAAAGTTGTTTCAGTTTCATTGTACGTTTGCAGCCAGGCTAAACTATCGGAGAATTTCAGGCTGAAAATTTGGAAGGAAATTAAGAATGGGACAATGAATGTATTTGGTTTCGGGCTGAAAATTTGGAAGGAATTTAAGAATGGGACATTAAATTTACTTGTGTGAAAAATGCCATTTGAAAAGTTTAGCCTCGGCCTTTTAATTGAATAGCCTCTTACAGCAAAGCAGCGTGTGTTGTGAAACAGCACTGAGCACTCAACAACCATCTATACCACAAGATACAATAGCTAAATAAAAAAAGCCATTATTTTCTATTACAGTGCAGTAAAAATAAAACTGAATAGACATCATCGCACTGATGTTCTCTCAAAAGAGAGCAAGGGCACTGAACTTGGATGGCAGTCGCATGTTTAACTGCAATGATTTTCCTTGGAAATAGACCCTGAAGATTTTGGCCCTACATAGGCTGAAATGCTTGTCGGAAATACTACAGCTTACTGAGAAAGCATCTGAGTGGCTTTTTATCCCCCAGCCTGTACTCATAACTAGAGGGTACATTAAAGTGCTCCTCGTGGTGGTGTAAAGCTCACACACAGTCTTGGCAGAACAGGAGCCCTTGGAATTGAATCTTCAGGTTGTTTCATCTCCCAGGAACGTGTTCAAGAGGACTTAGAATTGTTTTTACTTCTGCCTGGAAGGTTAACAGATCTTCTGTGCTGTATACAATCCTGGGATAAACTATTCTTAGCTGCTTATTCCAGATAACTCCTTAAATAGTCTTCGGAAAATATGCAGGGTGCTTTTAAAATATTATGTAAAAGGAGATACTGCTGTATGTGATCTGAGATAGATGCTCTGACAGTGTCATTGGCTTGTGAGACCTATGCAAAAATATAGATTTAAATGGTTTAAACAGGGACTCACTTATGCTCCCCCTGGTTTACTGTCTGGCTATCCATTCTCTTTCTAACCTCTAAAGGCAAATATCTGGTTGCCTTGTAGGGGAAATGAATTCATCCCAAATAGCTAAACAATTTCCCTTTAGTAATTACCTCTGTTCTCTTCCATTTTGGCCAAAAAAATTGTTAACACCGCTGCACACTTCCGCTCCCCTCTGCCTACCTCCATCTCTTTCTGCGGGGGCTCCCTGCAGCACTTTGACTCCCCTGACCCCAAGGTAGTTTCTGTTCGTGGTTGTGGAATATTTGGTGTACGCAAATTATCTCATTGTCACGACACATCTTGTGGTGACAGACACACATCCCCTTCCATAAAGGTAGGTGGGAACCAGCAGCCACGTTTCACTACTCCAAAGGCACTAACGAGGGTCCCGTCAAAGCTCTCTCCTGGCCAGGGCACAGGCTGCTGCTCCTGTGCTGTTAGATCTGGCCACAGCACAGCCCGAGACCTTCTGCAGCTCCCAAGGCTAACGCAGATGCCTACCGACTCCTTTTGATTCTGTTTTGTGTTTGTTGTGTTTTTTAGGGTCCCCCAGGTCCCCACGGAAACCCTGGCTCACCTGGCCCCCCAGGCCTGAAAGTAAGTATTAATTGGCGTGAGGAGCTTTTGCCTTCCTGTTTCAGAGGACGTCCCAGTGGGGGAAGTACAGCTTTTTTTTTATCCTGCTCCGCACAAAATGACGAGTAGCTGAAGCCATTCCTCCCCTCCCCTCTGCTCGCACACAGGCCCTCCAGCAGCACAGCCAAAGCCTTTTCCTGTGCTTGTGAGAGACCCTGCTGTGTGCCTCGGTTCTTGGTTCTCCCTAATTTCAAAGACTGCCTAATTAGGATCCTGCTTAAGCTATGCCTGTGCCAGGGAGCAGACTGCTATGTTGAGATGAGGGCAGTGGAATCCTCCCACTCCAGAGCCTCACCAGGTCCAGACTTCTTTGCTTTCTCATTTCTCTTCTCTGGTTTTTGCAGCCTACTCCTCCACCTTTGGGTCTAGACAGTGGCAGGGGGGGACTGGCAGCACCCGGCTTCTTCCTCTGCCTTCCTCCTCCTGAAACTCCCTCATCTCTCCTTTCCTCTCCAGATTTTCTGAGAACCCTGACCTCCATCAGTCTTCCCAAACTGATCCCGTTGCTTCCTTCTAGATGTCCTCATCTCTTCCATGAGGTCTCACAGACCTCCTCCGGCAGTGCCAGGAGCCCTGTGTTTTGCCCTTTTCTCCTGTATACACGCTCCCTCCGGGGTGCTGCAGGGGGTGAGAGCTGGAGCGCTGCAAAGTGGGAGTCACCCCCTGCAGCCAAACCTCCTGCCTTTGCATGGGACTTGAGCACAGATGTGGCTCCAGAGGGGAGTTAGTCCAGTGTGCTGCAAAACGCTTCAGAAAGACATTTTAATTCCCAGCTTGTTCCTGTGTATAAGGCTTTGTGTTACCAAAAGATGGCGAAGTTCCTGGGAAATTGGTTTGGATTGTTTTGGTGTCATTGCTTACACAGAAATAGATTTATATTTTATAACACCGATCTGGGTCTAAAGAATAATTGAGTTTTGAAAGGCGATGCTTAATAGGGGTTTCCACTACCAAGAAAGCTGTAGGATATCTCAGCCAAACATAGAGAAAGGTACAAGCAAGAGTCCTTTCTTTTCATGATCTCATCAGTAGGCAGAGATGTTATGAACACTATTGATGCTCTGGGAAAAAGATTCTGGAAACTTGGCATGTTGCCTCTACGTGATTAAAAATTAGGCACTGGAGACATGCTGGTGAACAGCAGCTGTTTTAAATTCTAAAGTGTAGTTATATGGCCTGAAAAGTGAGGCTGTAAAAGTTCTACATCTTAGTGTTCTGCATTTATTCTCCATCAATGACTTCCAGATCAGACTTGTTGAGTTTTATAAGTCAAATCAAAGTTCTTTTATCTAACTTCCAGTCCTGCAAATTCAGCCTGGTCCAATCTATAGAGTCAAACTATGTTTCTATGCTATAGGGTTTTTTTTAAAACACTTTTAGCCTAATGCCTTGTCAGAAATCATAATTTGGCTGTAAAGCTGTATTCAGCTGGCCTCTTATTAGAAATAAAAACTTCCTGTAAGCATTTTTCCTCCATCCTGATGCACGATCTGGCAGCAGGAAGCCCTCAGCGGACAGATAGCTCTAATAGTCTGCAGTAGAGATCTGGTGTCATTGGTCTGTGCAATACATTTTAATTTTGTCCAGCCACCATTTGCAGGATTAGGCTGTTCTACATGATGCTTCATCAAAAGAAGTATTAAGTTTGCAGTGGGATGTAAGAGCTGTAGCTCAGCCCAGGCCTGGGCATAACTTCACCTCTAGTAGGGAGAGCCTGGTAAGCTGTGATTGCAAGATCATTGCATGAGAAGCACTTTTTTGAAGGTGTGCATCAGATCCCAGAGTTTTGACTTCCCTCCTTCCCTTCATTTCCCTGGTGTTACACTAGTCCTAGAAGATGGACTTTGCACAAAAAAAGTGATATTTCACTCCCTTACATTTTAAATGCCTCTACCCTTCACCAGGCTTGACAAGCCTGCACCTGGGACCTGATATCTTCTTAGTAGACCCAGACCATGGCTGAAATTATAGACTTGCGAAAGCTCAGCCTGGGTGACAAGGCAGAGCAGCCCCAATGAGAAATTCTCTTGCTGAGAGCCTTCAAGTGGCTGCTGGACTAGGTCTTCCCTAGATAGCAGTTAATACCATGGAAAAAACAAGCAACTCAAGAAAGGAAACTGAAGTTTCCCAGATAGATACGGCTTGGAAACAATGACTAACACCAAGTCATTGTCACTTAGGAAGTAACCCAGGAGCATAATTTTTATCAGCTGAATTAACAGAGCACTCATAAGGTCAGGCAATCAGCTGCATACAAGGGATGTGATGTGGCATTGCAGCTGGCAGAGATATGTGTATTTGTGCATGTCTCTTGTCCAGTTGTATTGCATTGACGAGCACCAGCATTGTGTTGTTGGACTGCTGCGTTTCTGAATCTATCCTGTGCAGAGTCCACCTTATTCTCATCACTGGAGCTGAGCACTTGTAATTCCTTGTACTTAGGAAGCTGATCTTTTGCACAGAGCTGTATGTAGCTGTTGAGCCAAATTCCTGCTAATCTGCTTGGGCATGGTTCCACTAACTTCAGTGGCATTACACCCGCTCGTGCCACCTAAGAATTTAGCCCATGGTGCTTTTCTCAGCAATTTTTAATGTGTAATTTCTTAAAGGCGGCTTCTTGCCACTTTTTGCATTCTGTTTGTTGTCCTTGGCAGTTGCAAAATTGCTATTGCATCTAGTTAGTCAAGACTGGTTATAGTAGATAACCTCCTAAATGGCTGTAGGCATATATTGGGCTAGGGTTGTGGCTGGCTGTGTGACCTGTAAGCTGCTTGTGGGGGCAGGAGGGGCACTTTTGCTAAGGACTACAAGTAGCTCCAAGGAGGCCCTAGTAGAGTTTGGGATGGGGAGGAGGGTTAGCTGTCAGACAGGGTGTGTTTTCGGAAGCCATTACAAGAGTTGGGTTTGCATCTCTCATCTGGAGGCTTTTGGTATCAGGCATTAGTATGGTTTGCTTAGTTAGCTGCTCTGGATAAATCTCTCTTGTTATAGTGCTAGGAAAAAGTGAATTTTCCTTTTAGTGATTGGTTTGGCTCCAACATAGCTCATCAGTTTGGCTCACTGATGTTTAAAATACTATTAGTGGGATTGCAAAGCTGAGGTGTTTAAGTTGCACAGCTCTAGACTTCTCCCAGGTAGGGAAAAAAAAACCAGAAGAAAACAATTTCTTCCTTTACAAAAGGAAGTAGTGTGCTCAGTCAGTTGCAATGAGAAAGAGAAGCTTGTGAGCAAGGTGCCATGGCTTAGTGATGGACAAGGCTTAGGCTAATTCCCATGTTGTGGTTGCTGCGTGAGAAGAGTTGGGCAATTAATCCACAGTTTCAGCCCTTGCACACAGGCACCCATTCTCTCTGGCCCTGATGCCATCTTGCTGGTTAATCTTAGGGATACGTGATAACATTTGTGGCTGAGTTCTCCACCTGTGTGATGGTCTCAACAGTGTTGAACACAGAACCATGGTGCAAAGCACAGTCTTTGCTAATGTGATCTGGAGCTTCCCAGGGAAAAATGTAAGAGGCCTGTATTCCTTTACATGGCTCAAAGTCATTGTATTGAGCATATGGCAAGATTTAGGGAGAGTGGTGGGTGTCTACCTGCTGCAGCAAATTAATTTTGCAGAGTAGGAATTAATACCCTGCAATCCTGAGGCCTGGTCTAATCTGTTCTGAGCAGTTGTAGCACCCACTGACTGCTCTGAAGCTCAAAGAGTGGGAGAATTGCCCTGATAACAGCTGCATGCAAAGCAAGATTATCTGCATGACTTCATATACTGTTTGGAAACCAGGCAGCCTTCATTCAGAATTTGTGCAGATGCATCTGCCTTGAATCAGCAGTGCTCCCTACAGTCCGTAGCCAAGTAGTCTCACTCCCTGAACCTTGCAGCTTGTGGTGGATGGTGGAGGAGGAGAAGGGGAGATTTACACTCTGTGCAAGGTGGGAAGTATGTGTCGAATGTAGTCACAGTGAGTCTGCATGGAAAAGCTGCTCAGCTAGCTATAACTAGACCTTTGTGCTGCTAATGAGAAATGCCAGTTCATAAATACTATTACTCCTCTGTAGGGTCTCACCTTCCCTCCAAGCACTTCACCTGACAGCCATTAATTAACGCTCACAACTGTCCTGTGCTTGGCGGTTGGTTTTACATCCCGTGCTGCTGATGTGGCACACAGAGGTTGTGACTTGTTTATGATCTGGGGGGTGTTAAATAGCCAGTGACTGATACTGGGATACCTGTGCCCTAGCTGTGCCAGAAGAGATGTCATACAGACCTAAGCTTCTTTGTGTTCTAAGCTTTACCTCTCCCCTGCCAAAAGGATCTGCCCACTTCAAATCTCTTCTAGTTTTTCCTACTTCTATCTCTTACCCTGTTAAGTGCACACATTACCTTTCCACCTTTTAAGAATTTGAACTGGGATTTTCAAAGGAATCTACTGGAATTAGATGTTCAAATGCTGCTGAAATTCCAGCCTTTGTTCGTCAGAAGATCACAGTCTTAAATTGTAATTTCTCTCGTCACGGTTGTTAAAAAGGGAAAAAAAGAATACTGCCACTTAAGATAAAGTGTGCCTTTTTCTTCTGCCGGTCTGAAAGCCTCACAATTGCTGTGGCTGTTGGTAGTGTCTAATTAGTGTAACTTTCTCTGCAGTTTCATCTGTTCCCCACAGTTAAAAAAGCAACAGCATCTAGCAAGTTGTTAAGAAGGATGGTTTAGCCACAGTAATAGGCTTGGTAATTATTTTTGTGACGGTAGTTGTAGACAAGGAAGAAATCACAGCTGTCTAGTCTAATAAGTATCAAAAGTCCCGACGTTGCCTTCTTCCAGTTATCTTTTCTTTAGTCAATTTAATACTGTCAAATACTATTTAAAACTCAACGCTTTAGTAGCAGCAATCATTCACCAAAACCACCCCCAGCAAAACAGCTATACACAGGGACTTTAATACATTTGGGATGTTGGGGCAAGTCAGAGATAAAATGTTTTTCTAATTTTGAGGCTTGGTGGAAGCAGAACCACATCTATGGGCTGGGTCCTTGGATTATGTCATTAATTTAAGTTTTTCATTTCAGGGTCAGAAAGGTGATCCTGGGTTCTCACCTGGAAAAGCTCGCAATGGACAGAAGGTAAGATGTTGCCCAGACTGCACAGGCATCAAGACCATGGTGCGCTTTAAGCCCTGTGCGTACACATGGAGGGAGTCCATACTGCAGCCACAAGCATCACAGCTACTCAGGTAGACTTAGGACTGAAAATTAAGAATTAGACCCCGGATTCAGGACTAAAGAGTTAGCTAAGGTATTGACCACAGTGCACTGAAGTGCCTGCTGCCACAGCTTTTTGTTGTCCAAGTGTTTATCCATTTTATGCACAATCTGCAACCCAAACTTAAGTCCCTGCTGCTGCAGGCACATGGCTACTTAAGCTAAATATTTAAACTAGCGCATATGAGATACAGCCACACCTTGCCAGCTCTGGCCATGCAGCTGTAGAAAGAGACAAGCCCAGTGTAAGGAATAAAAAAAAAAACTTGAAGGCAAAGGAAAGGATGTTCTTGCCGAGGAGCTGCGAAACAGTGGTTTGCCTCACGTCACATACGCAGCCCACAGCAGATCACTACTGCGAGAGCAGCCTTGCTATCCCACTGGTGGAGAAAGGGAGGCTTCTCAGACCATTGCACTGCCAACACATGGACCCTGCTGTGTGATAACCAGAGGCCTTTCCACCAAGGTCTACTCAACTCAACACAAAGTACACAACTGGGAAGTGTAGCTGGTTTCTGGATTTGGCAATTGTTAAGGACCGGAGTTCTGCTAATTCTTTTCAATGAGTTACAACTCCCATTTTTGCTGTTTCACAGCTGAGTGATTTTTACTGAGGCAACAAGGCCTCACAGAAGCCTAGAAATTAATAGTAGAGCAATCAGGGCTCCACATCATCTACCTCAATTAGTTCTTTCAGTGATGCCTGCACAATACTTCATAGCTCATGTCCAGGGCAAGAAGCCTGGTTCTCTTCCTTTCATCACAAGCCTTGCTATAAATGGGCAGCTAATAGAAAGCATCAGCCATGGAGAACTTAGGCCCTTCATTTGAAACCAGATGCCTCCATGAAACACAGCAAGCCACACAAATGCAAGGTAGAGGATGACACTAGAAAACCTTGAGAAGGCTAAGTCTGAAACAATTCTTTTAACTTAACAGCACGAGATGCCTTTTGAAATTTCTTGTACACTACATTGGAGTGGCATCACATGGAAATCATTCACCCGCAGAGTCTGGAACTGTTTTCTTGCAAGCATGCTCAGTGTAAGAAAGGGAGAGATCCAGATAACTTTTAGCTCATGTTAACAAGGCTTCATTTCTGGTAGCAGTAATAGAAACAAGGAGTTTCCAGCAGGAGTTTGGAGTGATGCCTAATTTTCAAGCTAGGTACTCCGAATGCATTTTCAGTAAGCAGGCACAGCACGGTGTTAGAGACTCTAAAGGGTTTTTTGATACTAATCAGAGGAGGCCAAAATGGGCTCGTACAAATGGCTTGGATGTTAGATAAGTCTCACAGCACCACACTTCTCTGTTCCTATGATGATTTGGGCATGCCAGCTGGGATGTGATGCAATCCCTTTTCGAAAGTACAGGCCGCTGAAAAAAACCTCCCACCAGCAGCCTGCAAAGGTTCAATCCATGTCATATAGGCAGGTTAAATAATTATACCATCAGCGCCATCTGAACTGGAGCTGTGGGCTGAGCCAGTGCAGTAGCAGAGTGTGAGCACAATCACAGGAATTGGCAGGAGGTACCTGTTGTTCTTATTGCATTTAAAAGCTAAAATTTTCTTGCCTTGCTGATTTAAATGCCTATCAAAAGGCAAATGAAGCATGTGACTGAATGAGATCATTGAAAAAAAAAAAAGCATTCATTCTGCTGGCAAAAAGCTGGACTTTAGCAGCAGCTGCCATTAATTAACTGAGTTTATTATTTATATGAGCTAGTTAATAGAGATGTTGTTTAAATCTACGTTTCTTATCCAGGCAGTTTTTGAAGAGTTGTGATTTGAATCAGAAGTATCAATAGTTGGGTGCTACTGTTGGCAAAGTAATTTCAGTAACAGTACGCTAGGCATAGGGAAAAAGTTGCTGAAAACTAATTCAACTTGCTTGCTTCCCACAGGGAGACATGGGTTTACCTGGTTTGACTGGGTTCCCTGGACCACCTGGTAGAAAGGTAAGAGTATTCTTTTCTAGTGAATTAGATCAGTATTTTTATTTTTAGATTTTCTCCTCTAACTCTGCCTAAAAGATTTAATTAAGTCCTAGTACCCAGCAAAAAAGTCTTATGCCTATTTCACAAGTGTATACACTGGGATATAGGCTGAAGCAACTGCCTAAAGGTTGTACCAGCAAGACTATGTAAGACTATGAAATGAAATTCTGGATCCAGATTTCTGTTCCTTCTTTGTATTCTATGTCCCACTACACTGCATCATCCCCATCATTCCTCTGCACCCTGACACTGGGTCTTCATGAGCAAGCTGAATTTAGATCTGGTTCAGCCAATGTGTTAACTAAATGGATCTACAACTGGCATCAATACCCAAAGGTTGGATTCAGAACAGGTTTAGACATTCCAAGGAAACCTTGACTGTCTCACCTGGTAAAGCACATTTCAAACAAGATATCTGTATGCCTTCGCTCTACTTTGCCTGCAGATTGACAGCACTAGTCAGGTTTTGCTTTATTTACTTCCATATTGATGTTTCAACAACATTAACATCACCGACAACAAACCTATGCCTAGAAAAGGTTACATAACGATACAGCACAAGATCCGTCCCTGCTTTCATGTTGCAGCGGTGTATGTGCTCATGTTCACATGTGCAAGTCTGCATCACAGTACCTTAGCGATCTGCACCTTTTATACATCAAGGACATTTCAGTTGACCTTCCAGTTCCAGGCTGTGTTGGTAGGTTGGTTTGGTTTTTTGGAAGCTGGACCTGTTGCAGGGAGCTGTTTGACAGTTGTGCTCAGTGGACACGACTCCCCTTCCCAGCAAGCCAATATTGACATAGCTAAGCTGAACAGTTAAAAGGAGCATCTTGTTTCAATCATTTCATCAGTCAACCGGCCATTGAAGATACACTGTTCCTCTGGCCAATTAGCTGCACACAAACACCTACTCAGGTATGCTTTAAGACTCTGGGGAGAGAAAGAAGCTGTGGAGGAGACTGAAAGAAACCCTCCCTCTCCACGATTGTTTGTTGTATACTTTATATTGAAATCAAATTGCCAAAAGTAGGGGCTGGGTTAATTTTTCTACTCCCAAGGCTGGTCATGCTTGGGGTGCTGTGTGGAGCTAGGAGCAATAGAGTGATTAATTACCAATCTTTTGCTGTCTCAAACAAGTTCTAGCAAAGAGGGTGCAAAGAATACCACTTTCCTGGTATAACAGCTCATAAAACAAAACCTTGTGGTTATGATCAGCAAAATGCAATGTCAGGAGCACAAGGACTCATAGTGGAAAAAGTGGAGAAGGAATAGGAGATTGAACAAACATTCCTGAGTCCAGCACATGGCCTTCACATCTGATCTCGGCTCCCCCAGGACAGGGCGAAGGCAGGGGTATGCTTCTGTTTCTTCAAGTAATGAGCAAGTTGGATGCTGAAATTTTTCCTTTGGTGCGGCTTAAAAAAACCACCTCCCAGTAGCGCTAGTCTGGCAGTGTTTTTGGTGTAACCTGGCTTTTATTAGCATCCTGCATTAAGAAAAAATTTACAGCTGTTGGAGAAATGTTTGGAAAAAAATCTTTTTTTATCTGGATTCCCTGCTGGCTTTTTCCCAGTGAAAATATGCTGGTGTTTGGCTGAAGGTGGGCAACACATCTTGGCTACCAGAAAACAAGAAAGCCTTGGAAATGGACATCCCTCCTGCTCACTCCATGGAGGGACTGTGAAAAGAACTCTAAGGCCTTTGATCTGAAAACACCATGTAGAAACTTTCAAATAGGCAAAATATTTCACCAGGGGAAACAAAATACTTTTCCCACTAAATGAAACAACTGGCTCAGCAGCATGAGCTGGAGCCACAACCAGCAGCATATGGTTTTGGATAGTGCGGCTCATACCACAGTGCCTGCCTTGTGAATGCAGACCTTTGCTCTTTGTAGGATTGGAGAGTCTGATCTCAGAGCACCCCCAAAGTCATTTTTCCTGCACGCATCTGCGAGTATATGAAACTGCCTTTCAAGAAGCAGATGTAATTCTCATCCTCTCCACACAGAGCAAACGTTGCTTTTGCTGACCAGTAGTTCTCAGCAACAGTGGCAGGACTCGGCTGTCCCCTCTGCCCTTCCCTCGGGTGCCTACGAGGTGTCTGTGGACTTTGGCTTTCAGCTGGGGGCTGCAGACTACAGCTGCCTTGCGGATATATCTCAGCAGAGTGCTGCATCATTGCTCCCAGCCTCAAATACTGTGGAGGAGAAAATGGTTGTAGCAAAGTACAAGATTGTAGGAGACGGCAGCAGTGAGAGAGAAAAAGATTAATTAAAGTCCCTCAGAGAGTAAAGACAGAGCTGGAAATTGGTCAGTGCTTCAAAACACACCCTGTCATGCCGATCTATTTGCTGGCTTCTTTACTCTTCACATTTCCTATCAAAGTGCAGGATGATCCTTTTTAGCTAGGAGAGAGCGGATTATAAATATCATCACAGATGACTAAATCCTTCACTGGAGTGCAGTTTCCTTTCTAAATCACAGCCCTTTGTGTTGAGCACCCTGTAATCATCAGGAAGTGTTTGGATAAAAGAGCAAATGCAGTTGTTTTCATACCCTCTGCCTTGTCATTTTAGCACTATTTGAAGGGGATTTTAGCAGGTAAATACTTTCATATTGCAGCCAACTTTAACATACACAAGCTCTTCTGTTTTCTCCTCACTATAATTAACCTGAGACAGAAATAACTGCAGCATACTATGAAGAAACACACATATGAAGCTTCCTAGAGCTCATTATATATGTAGTGAGGAGGATATTTAATAGGATGCAACAGTAGCAGAGTGTCTACATATTTAACTTAAGTGCCATTCACTTACCATTATAGAGATAGCAATGCAATATTTGGTGCAGACTTTCGCTCAGGACGTGCTTTGAGCATCTCAAGGGGCTGTTATCTAACCACCTGCTCTGGGTGGACATTGCAGGCTTGAAAAGCCTGTCCTGCAGGAACCCAACCAGAGCAGAAGGATTCAGAGCAGCCAAGCTAGGCACCTCTTTCTTATCAGTGGAGGGAGCGAAACATCTCTAAGTGTTTGTATGCGTGGAAGTAGGTGCTCCAGCTGTCTGGAGACAAAGGTAGTTCCTGCTCCAGGCCGTAGCTGGAAGAGGTGGGCTGAGGCCCGAGGAGGAAACCCCATGAGCTCCATGCTAAATCCCAGGGCAGGTCTGGAGATGCTGAACACAAGGCTGTTTCTGTTGGCAGCTCTCTCTGGAAGGGGGGCGGGGGGGGCAGAATAGATGCTCTCTGTCTGCACAACAACCTGCTGGTCTGTGCTCCAGGGATGTGTGATACCAGCTCTGGGCCTCCCACACCCAGGTGGGTCTGGACCTTCACAATGTGCCTTCACCTTCAGGCCAGACGCCCAACTGGGTTGGAGCTTCCTTCCTCCTTTCTGCTGATGCTGAGCATCTCTGGAGGAGCTGAGGAGAGGATAAGCAGGAGAGGATTTCATGGGGCAGATTCCTGGAGAGGTGCAGGGAGTCCCATCTGCTGGTCCTGCTCCAAGAGCTGCTGAGGCACTTCCAATTAGGAGCCACTGGCTGAAGTGCACTGGCAGCATTCGGAGAAAGGACCTTCGAGGGGTTCAAATAAGGGCCAGCTGGTAGCCAAATGGACTTTCAAGTCAGCCACCACCTTCTCAGGAGGTGCAGCTCAGTCAGAAGAGCGGGCCATGATACATCAGCAAGGTCAAGCAGGAGAGAATTGGTGAAAAGGGAATCAACATTTTTCCAGGCCAAAATGTCTGAAATAATGAGCAAGGAGGAATGCAAAGGGGAGTGGGTAGTAGCCAGGATGGCTGAGAGCATTGCATACCTCCGCCAGCAAAGGCTTAGGCTGCAGGTCTAGAATAGCCCATGGGAAGAATAAAAAAGCTGTTAAGCAGAGGTGTGGACCTGGGAGCAGAAACAGGCCTGGGTTCATCGGGTGAGTAAAGCAAAAGGCCAAGTCCTCGGCCAAACCAGGGTTTGGTTATGGCTTCAGAGCAGGGGGATGCTCCCCTGTGGGTTTCGCAGCCAGGCAATGTGTGCCGGGAGCCCTGCTGGGAACAGGGTGAGTGGCAGAGTCTGAGTTACAATTAGCAGTTGTAACCCACCCTGAGAGCATTTTGTTATTTCGGTAGTATTTGTGCAAGGATCATTTCTTGTTTATTTTCTCTCTCCGTTTGTTTCAAGTTATATTTTCTGCCTTTTTTTTAGTCTTGCTAGTAGCCCAGCTAAACAGTCGTCTCTGTAACTGAATTTAATCTCCTAATCTGCTCTGACTCCACTTGATGGAAATTAGTTTGTTTTAAATAGCTGAAGCAAGATAATAAAGGAGAGGGCAAAAAAAAATCTGAAGTGTCTATCGCTTGCAGAATTTACTCAGTGTTTGAAGAGACCGCCAGGTAAATCCTGGAGAAAGCAAACTCTCTTAAAATACACACTGATCAGTGTGCAGTTGAACAGGCTACCTTTGTCCCGCTCCAGTGTCTGCAACTCAAAAAAAAAAAAAAAACCAACCTGAAAAACTGAAGCAGGTTTATGAAAGACCTGCGAGAATGACTTGAAGGCTGTAACGCTTGCCAGCTAGCAAGCTGGATTAAGAAACTCATTCTAATTAATTGAGCAGGTTAAGAGGCAGCTTGCTCACCACTTTAGGTAGCTTCATAATGAAGGACTCTGAATCTTGTCATACCTTCTAATAATTAGATTAGAAAAACTGGAAACTAGACAAATTCAATCTAGAAGCAAAATTGAAGTTTTCTGTGACAGCAAATGGTTATTTTGGTGTTTCCTATGGCATTTCAAGTCCTAAAGTGAAAATGAGTGCTCTGAAATGCGAGTGAGTTGTGTTGCGTAGTCCCCCAACTTGCCCAAAGCAAACATTTCACCCTACAAGCCTGTGGTTTCCTAAGGATTAAGGATAGCCTTTGCTAAAAGTGTAGATTACAAATAGATAGATCTGAGTGTAGATACAACTCTAAGTCTGTTCATGGAGCAAATCCTTCTTGAGTAACCACGAGGCCAGACCCCAGCAGGTGCAGGCTGCTGCTGCCACACCACGTTGTAGCAGAGCCTGGGGCCATCGGCAGGGTTTGGGTGATGCCAGTGCAAACAGCAAGTTTGCATGATTGTGTAGTGCTATCCCATATCTAAAAACCTGCTTCTCCTCAGAACTTTACTTCCACCTGCAAAGAGAAATTCAAACCCAAACCACATCACTTTATTATTCTTTTTTTTTTTATTTTTTCTGCTTATTCATCTCTTCCATCCTGTTTCAACAGGGATATAAAGGCTACCCTGGACCACCAGGTCACCCTGGAGACCAGGTGAGTCTTCCCAGTTTCCAACACTGAACTTTAAAGAGGGATGGAATTGCTGACTCTGATGCTAGTTTGGATGCCGCACAGCCTGCTAAGTGTGGACAGCCAGCTCCTTCCAGGGGCAGCTTGGTACACACAGGGGATGCGCAATGAACTCTCGTACTGCTGGCAGCTGTGCACATACACTGACCGAGAACCAGCAGGTTGGTGGGAAGAGACTGCCTTGGAGTTTCTAAATTTTTATTGCTCAACCATGTTAAGTTTACGTGGGGGAAGAAATACCAGTTTACCCTACTCCCCCTTTATTTTTCCTTTTATATTAATTTCACCTGGAGTTTACCAACCACATCATATTAAGTACTAACATGTAATTCCCCTCCCAAAGCCCATTCCCCCTCTCCCCTTTTCTCCCCCTTCTTTATTTGGTTAAGTCTGATGTTTGCAGTTCAGAAAAAAAAGGTAATGAATAGCAGGCCCTGTTAGCAATGATGTTAAAGGATATTATACATGAATCCATTTAGTTTTGAAGAATTTTGGCAGTGCTTCCCCACCAGTAAAACAGTTCCATATGCCAGATATAGATGCAGCCTTACACCTTCTCTTAGCCTCCTTGTTTCAAACTATCTGCTGTTTTCACTGCAGATGGAGGGAGAAGGAGAAGTAGCAACACTTGCTTGGATCCTATTGACTTGGCTTCTGTGTGTTTTCCCCCCTCATTAATGTATTCCACTGTATACCCTTAATATTTTCTTCCTTTCTATAAATTTGCATCAGGTTAATCCATTCCACCCTCCTTTCCCCCCAGCTCAAAGAACGAAGCAGCTAAAAAGGCTTCCTAAGTGTGACATTCACCTTACATTCTGTGCCTTTTCTTTTCTCTTTCCAAAGGGCGAACGAGGACCAGATGGAAGCCCAGGTGCCAAAGGTTATCCTGGCAGGCAGGTGCAGTAAATCTCATCGTGCTGTGCACAGACTAGGGATTTGGGTGTGCAGGTAGCTAAATATATGCCCTGCTAAATACATGCCCTACTAAAGACAGTGCAGACCTCTAGAATACATCTGAATATTTTCCTTCTTCCATCCCCAAGATGCTGTATCAATGACACGGTCTTTCAACTCTGGGGGACACTAAGGTTGTTAGAAAGTATTTTATGCCTATGATAGATAAAACCTGAATTTCTATAGCAAAATCTGACACGTTTTTGCTTCAGTATAACAACAGGTTAAAAAACCCAAAACAGCAGAACAGAGAAACATACCTGTAAGCTGCTAACCCTTCACTTTTAGGCACATTTTACATCTAATGTTGAACAGGTTAGAAACCTGGGACAGAAAAAGGTGTGTTACTGAAAGAAAAGATTAGATGAACTCTCACTAGTAAAATTCACTACCATAATCATATATATACCTATATATAAAATTATCCATGGACCATAAATATATGTAAAAATCATATTTGCTGCTGAAAAAAAGATGATGAAAGAAAACCAAGTCTTTGTTTTCATCCTGAAAAAATGCACAAAGGCAACTTTAGGAGGAGCGTGCAAAGGAAAATGGGTCGAGATTGGACACTTTATTGTCTTACTGATGTAAGATGCTGAGTAGTAGGAAGAAAAACAAGAGGAAGAATTTGTAAGACCCTAAATGGAATCTGTTGGAGGGCAGAAGACATGGCCCTGTAACATTTACAGAGTTCGTCATGGTTTTCTATAGTGGACACATTAATGTCGGATTCCACCACATTTATCTTTAAGTACATAGCAAAGAGGCTAGATGGATGTCAAAGACCCCAAGCAGTCTGTCATGAGTCTTTCAGACTTGTCGTGAGTTCATATGTGAGTTTTTACCCAGATGTGCAGGTTATTGGACTAAATATGAACTAGATGTGCAGAACAAGTCTGCATCCCTCTGCCCTCAGGTAATAATCAGTATCAATAAATGTATGATATTGGTAAATATTAATAATGTAGGATCCATTTTTAATTGAAAATTAAATTGATACCTTGCTTAACATGCTGGAGAGTGCAGATGGTAGAACTGGACGAGAGCTTTACACACCTGACTAAATACTCCATTCATACTCTGAAAAGCTTTTAGACATTTGCATGCCAAATAATGTCCTAGGTGTGACTGTGTGTTAGATGACTAATAGAAAAGGTCCGAGCTATTTTGGACATACAAGGTTAATGCATGCTGTTTAGCAATTCACAGCAGTGTTCTGCCCATCAGATAAGCAGGGTGAAATCTTTGCGTTTGACATACCAAGAACAAAAGTGCTTTCTTAAAATGTGGTTTGGGTCAGGAAAGCGACTTTTTTTTTTTAAGGCAGCTTTTTTCAGCATATCTGAATGCTGTGTGTATCCAGCATCAGGGCTGTTTACTTTACTGAGATTTTACTACTTGTTACTCCTGTCAGCTGTGCTGGCTCTGCAGCGCTATGGGAGAGAGAGCTTGGCTCTGTTTTGATTTGCGCATCATAGGCAGAATTGTTAACTTCACCCCAATGGCTGAAATCTTTGGCAATGATGCACAAGCCAGGAAGGAGCACAACCTGACTTTCAGATCCCAGGCTGAGTGTGCAGTGCTACCAGCTAAAGAAAATACAGATTTAGCCTCCCTCCCCCCCCCTTCCAAAAAAGCCCAACAACATTTGGAACTAGAAAAAATTGATCTGGAAACTTGCTAGAAGACAATAAACATGAAAATTCATTACGCATTTTTACAGGGCTCTTTTTCACAGTACTTTAAGTGAGCAGCAATAGGCATAGAAGTAGCATGGGGAATATATTTTCAGTTCCTGCCATAGCTGTTAATGCTGCAAAGGGTTAGAGATATTGCAGTACCTGCACTGCTAAGTGACTTTCTAGGCTGTAGAAATTAGAGAGGCTTTCTCACTGCATCAGGCCCGCCTGTGTTCCCTAAACAGGTATTGAAATATGTTTGTCATTTGCTATGCATGTGTTCAGTTAGGCAGGAAAATGACTTGAGAGCTCTTGGGTACAGAGCGTCACTGTACATTGCATCTGAATTGTAACACAACCTCTGTGCACCCTGCTGCATTAGCCTTTTTGGTCTTTATGATCAGAAATCTCTACTTCAGCCCCGGGCAAGGCTCACGATGTGCAGCAGTCTCAGGTTCTGCAGAGTCCCAGCTCCCCAACAATGAGACATTTGTTATTTGTATCATTTTGTCCTTTGTTCTCCTTTGTTGATACGCCTTGGACTCAGCACTGAAAGCAGAACCACGCAGGGACAGTGCTGGGGATTTGGCACTGCTCATTAGGTTAAGTTAAAGCCTGTCCACATTTGTCTTTGTTTTTTCCCTTCTGTTCTAGGGTTTACCTGGGCCCATAGGGGAAACTGGTCCAAAAGGCAGTCGGGTAAGCAGCCTTTCATTTTTCTTTTCTCTACTTGTTTTTACCAAAGGCTTCGCAGGAAACTTTATGCTTAATTTTGCAATCCTGAGACTAGTTGCTTTAATTTGTTGGATTCAGGGGATTTGAACTGTGCACTCCTTGTTTACTGAAGCACTGCTAAATTTTTTAAATTAAACGTGGAATGTACCAAGATCAAAGTTCACCAATAGTGTTGATGATACAAAGTCAACCCCTTCAGAGCTCACATTGCAGGAGAGGAAAGAATGGCATACAAATTCCTACCAAAGACCAAAGTCTGAACTTTCTGCAAGCCCCATCTCCCAAAGGCCTCTTTAGTTTCAATAAGTGTGGTTCAGCGGTCTTCGACCATGCTCAATATGGGCTCTTTTGGGTATAGTCCTGGGTTTGGGAGTGATTTATATCATTATGCAGAATAGCAAGCCAGCATCTTGAAGCCATGTGCAAATACAAACATTAATATTTCTCTTCTGCCTGGTTTTGCTCACCAAATTGAATTGCTGGGGGTTCATTCTCACTGCAAAGGCTCTCCTTAATCACATTTTGTTCTTTTCCTGCAATTATAAATTCACAATGAGATTCAGAGCCAATAAAATCCCCCGTTTCTCTAACATGTGATACTTTCTCTGTATGCAGTAAATTAAACCAGCTGGCTTTCATCACTAGGAAAACTGCAAGGAATAAAGAAATGCTGACCCTGTAGCTAGCTGTATTCCTGAGCTGGGAAGGGAGATGGCATGTTCAATGTCCTGCAGAAGAGAGTAAGATCTGAGATAGCACAGCTTGCTCACCTCACTTCTGCAAGTGAGGAAGTTTTCCCTGGTGCATCTGTTTCACTGGCCTAACCAGGACCTCATGTAATTATCACATGGTAGATGCGCAGAATGTAAGACTTGAAAATTATTTTCCACTTTGCACCCCTGAGTGCAGAGTGCTGAAATATTTATAGCTACCAAAGAAAGCCATTTCTCAGTTCAACTGCAGTCAATCAGAATTGGGTACTAAGGTGAGATATTGTGGATTGAGGGAGCTAACTGTGGACTCTTCTCCGTCCCCCACCTCTATTTTTTAGTTCTGCAGGAAGTAGGTCAGGAGTAACATGGTTTGTCTTGCGATTCAGGAGGCAAAGGCAGACAACATCGTTTTAATGTAGCTGTATTTCCCAGCTAGGTATTATCCCTAAAGGAGAAGCGATGGACTGGTGAAAAAGTTTGGTGGGGTTGACAGTAAGAGATTTAGTGATGATGGAGAAAGAAAGATGAGAGAAAATCAGTGTTAACACTCGGCTCTTGTAACAGTGAGGTGCCACTGAGGGGGCTCCCCGCTGAAATTCACTTCCTCTTGATTCTGCATGTTTGGCACAAATTAGTCCTTTGCAAAGGACCAGCACACAAGGTAACTTTGTACTAACTGCTGAGCCCAGAGGATTAAACACAAGGCTTCAATTGTTGCAAGAGAAGGGAAATGTAGCATTTTATGCAGCGTGTCTTGTCTGAGCGGGATCCCAAGGCAGTAGAGACACGCGGCATACTTGAAAACACGACGCCTGCTGATCGGTGTGAAAGGAGCGGATTTTATGTGAAACACATTAGTGCAAAGGAGGCTTCTTTACAGTTGGGTGTCAGAGGATCTGTATGCATGTACAAGTTGAGCCTCGTACACCGATCCAAAGAGTCTGAACTGTCACGCTCAGCCTCTCCCTGCCTAGGCAGGGCCCTTGGTGATTGGGTTGACAAAGCGTTTGCAGAAGATCTTGGTGGTGCAACAGAGTTTGCAGGGAAAGGCTTTAGGCACAACCATTACCAATTTGCTCCTCTCAGCAGCGGGGCAGTCGGCAGCCTTGCATGCCAGGAAAAGGTGTTGTTCGCGTGAGAAAGGCCTGCAGTGTGCGACTACCATGGGACATAAGATAAGCAGAAAGGGCTTGGTATCACAGGGCGTTTTCACAACACGGTTGGGAATGAGTGCCAAAGGCAGGGAAAGAGCCCTTGGAGAGGTGAAAGGAGGTGCAGGCATGCAGATTACTTTTGCTATCACTCTTGCTAACCTTGAACCAAGCTCCGTTTCCCTCAGGTACACTTAGAGCCAGCCCAGGTAAGGTTTCTTGTTGCTGGCCTCTTCCTGCCTGGAGTCCTCATGATCCCTGGTGTGAGGGTATGTGCCCTTGGACTACATCGTGGAAGCCAGCACCATGCAGTCCATGGGCATATACACTTGCCTCAAGGTTTATTTCATCACGGCTGCCATTGACCAACGCTGGAGGATGTTCTGCTGTTCAGGAAAGACAGACTGACTGGTTGCTAATGGAGAAATGTATTTGACTACTTGTTTTCTCTTTTCTTTAGGGATATATTGGTCTCCCAGGATTGTTTGGGCTACCAGGGGCTGATGGAGAACGAGTGAGTATTTTGTGAAGAAAATGTTGGTGTTTTACTTGAATACAGTTCATCAGAGCCTCTTGTAACCTCCTCTGTCCCTTGTTCCTGAGGAAAGAGGCGAGCATGCCTAACATTTAACCATGCCTTCTTTAGCTTGCTCCTACCTTTGTGTGAAGACTTGTGTCCCTGTACAGTGTTGACATTCAGCTCAGGAGAACCTAGGCTTCAGACAGGGTCCTCAGACCTCACTGTTGAGTAGAGAGTTTTTGTATCTTTTCCTTCACTTAAAAACCTGCCTTCCTCCTCCCCCTTACTAGTTCATCTTAGTAGGATGAGGTGGGGGGTCGAATGTACGTGGAAATTCCCTGCTCCCACAGGACTGACATCCTAGCCACAGCATCCCAGCATTTTGAGTGTCCAACTGGAGGTGCCTGGAAAGAGCCTGGCTCTTGGAAGGGACAGTGCCTTGGGCTTTCTGACAGTGGCTTTGGTTCCAGTTGCCTCGAGTTGGGCAGTCAAGACTGGGGCCTGTGAAGGGGCAGCTGTGGCTGCTGTTGCCATGTGTCCTCCCTTCCCCCCAACCTTTTCATCATGCCTTCTCCAAACCCATGTGTTCAGAGCTTTGCAGGACATCCCTTGCTTTTTTGCTCTTCTCCCCATGTGTCCCCACCTGCCTGATCTCTACCCATCCAAGGACCCCCTCTTCCCACTGCAAGAGCGCCTAAGGAAGGTTGCTGTAAGATGAAGACTGTTTTATTCCAGCTTTTTCTCCCTCAAATGCAAGCTCCAGAAACAAGAGAGGCCCCAGGAGCATGTGGGAGTGAGTGTGTGTGTGTGTGTGCCTGCCTGGAAGGGGACTACCCTGCACTCTAGAGTTGCTGATTTAATGCTTGTATAACTAAATAAGAAACATAAACAGAAGTTCTCCAGTGAGTGCCTTGGCGGTGGCCTTCATTTGGTTCCAGACAAGTAGCTTAATGACTGCTCCTGCTAAGCACAGCTTCAGCCTGTTGCCCTGGGTGTGGATGCTGCCTGCATGTGTCCTCAGGGAAGGCTGTAGTTAGTGGGTGAAGGTTAATTGTCTTCTGCTCTCGCAGCTGACTGCAAGTAGCTGACATTTTGATTCCTGAACAATGCCGCAGTCATTAGCCTGTTTTGCATTCCCCTTTCTCTTCTAGTTTTGTTTTCTATTGTTGGTTGGCTGTTTGCTTTCTCAACCAGACCTATTATTTTTTTTTCTCTGTGTGTTTTCCTTGCAGGGGATCCCTGGAGTTCCTGGGAAGAGGGGCAAGATGGGTAGGCCGGTAAAGTTTTTCCTCGTCTATTATGCAGACCTTGTTGAATGAAACTGGAAACAAAACATCTGACTTTTGGCTGGGTCCCTTCCTATCTTCTGATAGGAACTAAACGGGGAGATCGAACAAACCTTTCCATGTCTCTTTTCTCAAGCAGGAAGAAAACTGAAGATACAAATACTGTTCTCATCCTTTCTTCCATGCTCTGCCCACTTCACAAGCATTTTTGTTCTTTTTCACACTGTCTCCATGCTCCCTCGGATCTTACACTTCTCAGATTCTCTTCTGCAACACCTTCCCCTCTGGCCAGCCTCTTCCCTGAATGTACTTTTTAATTCCCCATCATGATTGCAGCTTCCCAGGTGTCTGTGCTCACTCTGTTACATCTACTGCTCTGTGCTCCCACCAGTCTCATCATATTTGCCTCTTTTCACTGTGATTCTCTCCAACCCTTGTACCATCCTGGTTTGTATAATGCAAGTGCACTTTTGTATGGAAAGCTTTTTGTCCTTGGTGGTGGTACAGAGTTAAGGCAGTAACAGATCAGATGAAGACATGTTTGAGGAGCAAGGAGACCATGTAGATTTGAGAGCTTGGCCAGGAGGAAGAAGTGTTTGCAGGTAGGGCTGAATACAAGGTGAAAACTGTGAGAGCTGCATAGGAGAAGGGGGTCTGTGCTGACTTAAGCAAAAAGCAAAATAAAAGCAGGTGGGAGAAGTACTAAAATGAGTAGAGGAAACAGAGAACAGACAGAAAGGAAAGCCTTTCCCTCATCAGCCTTCTTCCAAGCAACTCTGCATGCTTCCTTTAGCAAAATGTATAAAATTTTGCTCCAAGAGTCCGCAGAGAGATCAGGCACGTTCATGCTCTGGTGTGTCTCATTGCCTTTGCACCTTGTCCTTCATGTTAGCCTGAGTTTCTCTCGATCTCCTGACATCATTGTACTCACAGGCTCCTTGTAAAATGTCCACTCACCCACACACGGAAAAATCCACTGCTTTCCCCTTGTCACCCTTGCATGCGAATGCATGCTTTTCAGGAGTCCCACGCCTACCGCTTGCTGGTGTTCTCACAGTAAAAACCGTGCAAACATCCTGACAGGGCCACATTCATCTCAGCTGGCTGTTCGTCTTTCTCTGGGATGGGGGGAGGTCGAGCAGACTTTTTTTTTGGGGCGGGGGGGAGAGGGTAGTGGAAATCTGTACCAGCTTTTAACAGTTTTGTAAGCGCTGGTCTCTGTGATGAATAATTGTAGAGAGCCAGTCGATGTAATGATGACTCATTGACCAGATTAAAACAAACAAAGCAACTGTCGTTAGGTACAGGGTTTCTGCTCTCTGCCTTGTTTCTGCACAGAGCACACTGGAGGCTCAAAGTGTTCCAGCTGTTGTTTGGCTAGCGTTTGTAATCTTCCAGGCAAGAGGTTTTAGTCTGGTGGTCACTGTTACAAACAAGGGGCTCCCCTGAGATCAGCAGGGAATCTCTCAACCATGGAGGCATTTAGGCTGGGATCTAGAGAAGGGATTAAACAGCTGCGCATGAGCACCTTTGTTCCACTCGGCTCTTTCAGAGAGTTTTGGCTTCATCCCTGTTTCATGATATCAGGTTTAATAAGAAATCTTGAATGGACCGATGCTGATGATTTGTACTTCCGAGCGTGAACAAAAAGATCAAGTGACATCCAGAGTTATTCAGGAAGTCACTTGGAGAATGGAAAGTAAGAACCAGCTGACCTGGTTCCCTTCCCAATACTTATCTCCTGGCCTGTGCTGTCTCCCAGCTGGCTTCCAGTGTTAGTGAGCCTGCTGTGATTGTTCTGGTCTCTCGCATCCCCGCGCTGCTAGACTTGCTGGTGTGGCTACTGTTCCTGTTCTATTTCAGTGTTGTCATTGCAATGGAGAGCTCCTGGAAGCCCTTATTAGGTGCCATCCA